AGGTGACCATATGGGGTGCCAGGGATCGAACCCATAGCAAACACTTTACCGGCTGTACTTTATCTCTATGTTCCCCTCCCCATTTAAAAAAAAAAAAGTTGGGAGTGGGGTTGAATCACACCTGCAGTGCTCAGGGCTTACTCCTGGCATGCTCTGGGGATCAAAGGCCGCGTTAGTAATCAAATTGGGTCAGTTGTGTGCTAGCACCTTAGCCCTGGCACCATCCCTTCAACCCTAGATGTTTGGCTTCTTTTGAGAAAAGAAGCTAAAGGGATTTATCCCTTTAGCTGGAGCATCTGTGCTTTAATCTGTTCCCACCAGCTTCATCAGTGGGCACTGGATTTGGTACAGCTTACTCCTGCCTTTTGCTAGGAGGGAAAATTGCAATTTTCACCCCGTGCTGTCTGCTCTGTAGGCCCACGTGCATTCCTTCTTGGACCACATGGGTTGGTGCTAAAGGATCGTGTCTCTACGCTTTGGGATTGCTTGTCCCCACCTCACAGAGTAAACTCAGGCCCTTGAAGCTGTTTCTCAGACCCCACTTAAACTTTTTTTTTTAAAAAAACACTATTTATTATTATATATTTTTTAAATGAATCACTGTGAGAGACAGTTACAGACTTAGAAACTTTTGTGATTATGTTTCAGTCATGCAATGATCAAGTACCCACCCCTCCACTAGTGCCCATTCTCCACTACCAATGTTCCCAGTATCCCTCCTGCCATTCCCTCATTCTCCCCCTCCCCCACTTCGCCCGTCAGAGAGAGAGAGAGACAGACATAAATGACTACACTCATTTGTGGAATATAAAGTAACATAATGGGAGACTAACACCCAAGGATAGTAGCGATAAGGGCCAGGAGGATCGCTTCACGGCTTGAAGCCGGCCTCACAGGCTGGGGGAAAAGGCAGCTGGGATAGAGAAGGGACCACTAAATAAATGATGCTTGGAGGGCCCGCTCGGGATGGGAAATGTGTGCTGAAAGTAGACGATGGACCAAACATGATGGCCACTTACACTTCTTAAGCACAGAAATCTTGCTCGCTCTGCCCAGATGTCTCCAGTCGAAGAGAGTTCTTCAAGAGTTCTTCAAGAGTTGTGTCATGCTCCACCTTCTCCTCTTAGGTCTTTCTCTGCATAGACACCTAGAGGTCAGAGGCCTTTGTAAATCCTATGTCCAGAGTGAAATGCCTGTAACGCTTCTGTTGACGTTGGGTACATGTTCTACTGAGCCAAATCCGTGCGCCCAACCCTTTTGTTGTTATTTGTTTTGTTTTTGGGTCACACCCAGCGATGCTCAAGGTTGCTCCTGGTTCTGCACTCAGGAATTACCCTGGCAGATGCTGGCGATTGAACCAAGGTCAGCTGCGTGCAAAGCAAGCACCTTATTTAATGTATTATCTTTCTTATCTCTCTGGTTAGCCCCCTGCCCCTTGCCTCAGTCTGTTTTATCTGAGATAGTTGAAGCCAGGTTTCCCCAACCCCTTAATACATAACCCATTTCATGTTATCTTGATGATAGTCCTCTGGAACGTTTTAACTGCAAGAGTTATTACTAGCAATGTTGGTTGCTCCTTCCTCAAATATGATCTTTCTGATGTTTTCATCCAAATCAGTGACTTAAAGCTGATGAATAAGATGTAGGTCACTGGCGGAGTTCTTGGGTGAGGCCCTGGGTTCAATCCCTGGCACCATAAAGTTGCTATCATTTCACTTCAGTTAAGATGACTATTATCAAAAAGGAAAGAAAGAGTATTGGTAAGGAGAAAAGGGAAGCCCAATGCACTGTTGATGAAAATGTGAATTAACAGAGATACTATGGAAGACAGTATGGAGGTTCCTAAAATGGAACTCCCATATGATCCAGCAATTCTATTTTGACCACCTCTCAAGAGAAATAATTTTTTTTTTTCTCTTTGGATCACATCTGGTGATGATCAGGAGTTACTCCTGGCCCTGCATTCAGGAATTACTCTTGGCTGCGCTTGGGGGACCATATTGGATGCCGAGGATTGAACCTCTGGTTGGCTTCGTGGAAGGTGAATGCCCTACCCACTATACTTTTGCCATACCCCCAAAGTCACTTTTAAAAAAGGGAATTAAAAAAGATACATATACATGTCTTTTTATAATAGCCAAAATGGAAAAAACTCCAATGTCTATAAATATAGGTGATAGATGTATGTATATGTATATACATACATACAACAAAATACTATTCAATTATGAAAAACATGAAATCTTACTATTTGTGATAATATGGATAGGTCTTTAAATTCTTTATTTTAGTGTAGAAAAGAGTCACAACTTTTTAATTTAATTCTAGAATTAAAATGGATTCAATAACAAAGCTCCAATATTAAAATCAGTAAGTATAAAAAGATCAATTTATGTGAAAATTTGATTGTGGGGTTGTTAAGTCCTTGTCTAAGAATTCATTAAGATACTTGTTGCTAGTTGAGCCTTCTGTGTTATTGTTCGTTGAGTTTGGTTGGTTTCTAAGTTGCTTTCTCACCTCACTTGGTGTGCTCCTACTGGAATTTCGGTATTGAAGAATTAGGTGTCACACAGCCACATATCCAGACTTTAGGATCTAGGGTCTGGGTCAGTGAGTTGAATGATGGTGGTTGTGGGAGGTAAGTGTGGCTGTTGGGCTTTTCGGAAGTACAGGATTTTGGAGGGAGGCTGCCCATCCAAACTCTGAAAAACTCCAGTTCTCAACCTGGGCACTGGGTACCTGAAACTGTTTCTAGTTTGGCATCTCTGTGGAGTATTCATGAAGTGGTGGAGCTGAGCCCTTGGCTTAGCTGCAGGGGCTTTGGAAGGGTGGGTATTGGGCCCACCGGCCTCCTGAAGCTGCTCTGGGGTACCCAGTTGTAGGTTCCAGTGTTTCCTTGAGTTTTAGCCACTTGGTGTGCATCTCTCAGGAGGTTCAGGGTTGGTGGGTGAGTCAACAGGGGGCAGTTGTGGGACGTGGGCATGGCTGCTGGAACTTCCAGAAGTGTATGGGGAGGCTGTGGAGGAACAATATGAGATAATTTTTTTTTCTGATTTTTTAAAGCCACACCTGGCAGTGTTTAGGGGTTATTCCTGGCTCTATCTATACTCAGAAGTGATCTCTGATATTACTCAGGGGACCATATTTGGTGCTGGGGATTCAAACTTGGGTCACCTGGATCCAAGGTCAGTGTCTTAACCTCTATACTATCTCTCTAGCTCCCAATATGGATAGATCTTGAGGGTATTATGATAAGTGAGAGTCAAAGACAAATATTAAAAGGTTTCACTTATGTGTGAATTAAATTTTTTTAATTTAATTTTTTCCACTTTATTTAAACTGCGGTTTACAAATTTGCTCACGATGCATTTGTTATAGGCCTTCTATATTCCAGCCCCAACCCCACCACCACCGTGACCTTTCCTCCACCACTGTCCCCATTTTCCCAACCACCCTTCAAACCTGCCCCCCAGCAGGCCCAAAGTAATTTACTTTATATTGCTTGTTACACTAAATGGCTAATGGAATTATCGAGAACTACTTCTGTAAAAGAAAAGTCGTGAAAATTGTTAGATCTCACCATGGGGACATTTTGTCCTTGTCTGAGAGTTTACTAAGCTGTTGTTGCTAGCTGAGACTTCTGTGCTAATTTTTTTTTTTTTGTTTGTTAATCAAGCTTAGTTGGCTTCTCTGTTAAACTCCCATCCAATCTTGTGTGCTCCTACTGGGATGTCAGTGTTGCTCTAGAAAATCCCAAATATTTGACTGGGCAGTGAGCATACATGATGGTGTGGTGGAATGTGGGTGTGGCTGCTGAGGCTTTCAGTAATACAAGGGGAGGAGAAGAGGGGTAGTGCGAGGATTTCAGTCCCCCCCAAACTATGTGCACCTGAAATTTTCTGCAGGTTAGCATCTTTGTGGAGCTCGGTTGTAAGATGGTGGAGCATGGCATGGCAGCACCTGTTGGGTTTGAATGTAGCTGTGGAGGCCTTGGTATGGCAAGAACTTGGCATGCCACCTCCCAAGGTCACCCCAGAGATTGCCCAAGATCTCAGCCTGGAGGGGTATCTGAGGAATTTTTGCAGTTAGTTGATCTCTTCCAAGATTTATTTATGGGACTCTGGAGCAGGGTTGGTAGACAAGCTTCAGCTTGGTGGGGACTTGGCCTGCCCCCATCCCGACATGGCCCTGGGGTCTCAGCCTGGACAGTGTATCTGAAAAATTTTTGCAGCTCGTTGATCTCATTTGAGATTTAATCATGAATCTCTGAAGCAGGACGGATAGATGAGTTTACTTGGCAGTGGGACGTGGGTGTCTGATTTTTTTTTTTTTTTGGTAATATGTGTATCACTGTACACAATATGTGTATCACTGTATCACTGTATCACTGTCCTCCCGTTGTTCATCGATTTGCTCGAGTGGGCCCAGTAACGTCTCCATTGGAGACTTTGTTGTTACTGTGTTTGGCATATCGAATACATCACGGGTAGCTTGCCAGGCTCTGCCGTGCGGGCAAGATACTCTCAGTAGCTTGCCGGGCTCTCTGAGGGGGCAGAGGAATCGAACTCGGGTCGGCCATGTTGGCTGCGTGCAAGGCAAACGCCCTACCGCTGTGCTATCGCTCCAGCCCCGGTAATATGTGAAATCTTGAAATATGTAAAAGCACAAGAGGCAGAAAACTACCAAAGGGTGGGAGGCTGGGAAGTTGGCAAAATGGGTGAAGGTGATCAGGGACAAACTTCCAGTTATGAAATGAGTTAAGGAGCTATGGTGTACGGCACTGAAATTATGGTGGTGTAACTTTGAAGTTAAGATAAACAAGATTTAGTGGTTATGTATATAAAAAGTGGAATCATGTATGTCTAAAACTAAAATAATGTTGTATATTAACATACCAATAACACACAAAAGAGCTGATAGCCTATTAAGACAGACCAACATCACATCAATTCATTAACAATCTGTTTAAATGTCTGAATAGACATCCATGTGCCACACCAGAAATTGTATGCTTTTTATTACAAAGATTGTAGGGAACCCTGCCAGGAATATATTTACACTAATTATTCCATTCATCTGAAGGAGTGATGTAACAGCACTATCAGAAGAGAAATAAGGATTGTGCTTGATGAACCCAAGTGGTTACTAGTGATTATCTCCTTTTTGAAAAAAGTATAAACCGTTTTTGCTGCATATAACATCAATTGAGAGCTCAATCTCTACCCTATATATTTGTAGGAATCAGAATACTAGAAGACCCTGGCTTTTTCTGGGGACTACCTGGTCACACTAAAGATTACTATTTCTCCCTCTTATTTTTTCTTTCACCTGATGGAAATGAAGTTAAAATCCTAAAGAATTTCCGCCGAGGCAGAAAAGGGACAGAGATCAAAGACACAGAACCAAGAACTTGCCAACATTCAGAAGCTTGAAACGGATGGAGCCTATGGAGAAGCAACAAATGGACAAAAAGACATTCCTTTACCTGCATTTACCCTGATTTTTTATTTTTTTTGCCTTTTTGGGTCACACCCAGTGATGCTCAGGGGACCATCTGGGATGCTGGGAACCGAACCTGGTTAGGCCGCATGCAAGGCAAACGCCCTACTCACTGTGCTGTAGCTACACCCCCTAAACCCTGATTTTCAATATGAAAAGTAACATATTTAAACAAGCATAAGTGTAACCATACTTAGGCCATTCTAGATCCAGTCTCAAAAAAAGGAACAGTCTGAAATGACTTGACCGATTTGGAAGCTGCTGTGTCATCTTCTTAGAAAAGCACCAATTCTGTGCTCTCTCTCTGGTCAGTTTTGGTTTGAGGAAGCTGGTCCCCTCGGAATCACTTTGGGACTCTCCGGAGTTCGCTCATGAGCCAAAGGGCGACGCTGAGGAGGGCCAAGGAGCCCGACTGGTGAGTGGCCGCCAAAGCGGTCGGAACGTACATCAGCAGAGTGCTAATGCCCAGGGCCACCTGTCATGAAGGAGAGGGAACAGTAAGGGAAACAACTAGACAGACATCCGCATTCAAAAAAGTAAAATCTAAAGAAAAAAATTTAAAAAAAATTTCACAAGTAAATATACTTAGAACAAAGAAACTCAAACAAAATAAAATTTCCTTCTCCCATCCCAGATCCCCTTCCCAAAGGCAGCCAGATAGAAAACAGTTTCTAACTGCATGGCATCCTTTTTGAGTGTTTATAGAGAAGACTTTTGTTTGTTTTGGGGCTCACACCCAGCAAATGCTCAGGGCTTACTCCTGGTGGTGCGTGGCGGTCTATATGGGATGCTGGGGATTGAACCTGGGTTAGCCATATGCAAGGCAAGCACCTGACTTATAGCACTACTGCTCCAGCCCCTATAGAGAAGTTCTGTGTTGCTCTATGTTTTTTTCAGTTAACAATATAGATCTTGGTATTTTACACAATTATTCATTTAGTAGTGTCAGTCCAGGCACTCAGGCATGTGAGGCATGCCATCTTCTGCAAAATCTTATCACTACCTACCCAGATCTTACTATTTTTTTGTTTTTGGGCCACACCCAGTGGTTCTCAGGGCTTACTCTTGGCTCTGTGCTCAGGGATCACTGCGGATGGTGCTTAGGGGACGACATGGGGTGCCGAGGATTGAACCCAGGTCAGCTGCGTGGAAGGCAAGTGCCCTCCCCACTGTCCTATTGTGCCAGCCCTGAGACCTTCCAATTTTAAGCTGCTGTCCTTATTCCACGATAGGGATGTGCCATGGCAATTTAACTATTTGCAACACTGCAGTAATTCTACAATAAATTTTTGTTTGTTTGTTTTTGTTTTTGGACCACACCTGGTGGTGCTCAGGGGTTACTCCTGTCTCTGCACTCAAGAATTACTCTTGGTGGTGGTTGGGGGTGGGAGAGGTGGTATATGAGCTAATAGGAATCAAATCCAGGTCAGCCACATGCAAGGCAAGTGCCCTTTCTGCTGTACTATTTCTCCAATTCTATAATAAAATTTCTTGTTGTATGCAGCTCTCTGAACGATCAATCAGCTGGGTTGAAGAACTATACATTTTTACTGTGTGTGTGTGTGTGTGTGTGTACATTTCACATTTTTCAAAGACATTATCACACTGCCCTCTGGAAAAAACTATCAACCCCTGCTCTCACCAAGAACATCTGAAGGTGACTAATAGGTACCTACACCTCTGCCAATACCTGTTTATTATCTATTTATCTATTTCATCAGACACACACAAAATGGCATGCATGGGTTCACTCTGCTCCTCTCTGGTCATGAAGCTAAAGAACTTTTTGTATTTCGTAGTTATTTGCCATTCCTTGTGAGTGTCATGTTTTGCTATTCTTGAGTACTAATTTTTTTTTTAGTGTACCATTAATATTAAAACTATTGTCTGCTAGTGTATCACTGGCCCCTTAAAACCTTGTTTTGGGGACACTGTCAACATCAAAAAGAAGAGGTTCGTACCTGCGTGTACCCCAAGGCCAGGAGAGTTGCTGCCGCCATCTGGGCCCTGCGTGGAAGGGGGACCCTCCGGGACAGGAAGTAGAGCACCGTGATGGCAGTGACGGAAGAGATTCCCTGCAGAGAGAAGAGAGTCTCGGCACGCTGCACGCCAGGGGCCCCTGAGCCGCCTGCCCATTTCGGCTCACCGTCACGCATTTCCTCTAGAACTGCTGTGTCACCACGCAGCTCGTGCTTCCCTGGTCCCGGGTGCAGAGAAGCAGCCTGCAGGGCTTCTGCACCAAAGACACCTCTCCCCAGGTCTCCGCTGACCTGCTTGCACTGTGTCAACGCTTCCCAAGGCTCCACCCAGAGTCTCACTTTCCAACGTGGGTCTCCCACGGGCGTGGCCCTTATTCTACAAACCATCCTTTCCATCCCTTTGCCTAGTTTGGCCTTTAATACAGCATTTCCAAAGCTGTATTAAGCTGGCCGACCCCAGTACTGGAGGGTGATGATTTGGGGGGACTGTAAGTGGAAGTTGCTAGCTAGTGCCAAAGAAAGATCCGAAGTCTCTCTGCAGAGTAAGGGTCTGGGACTGACAATAGGGACGCCAGCCTCCTTCCGTGATGGTAATGGAGACTTTTCCCTATCAGATTCCTACATCTATTTCACTTCTTTTCCTTTCCAGAGCTATCGATGACAACAGTTTCAACCAGACTTTAGGAATTCCCAAATGTCACTTGGAGTCAGGGATGAAGACACAGAGTTCTTGTATTCCTCTAGAGTACCCGAGTCCTTGGGACGCCTCTTCAGATGTCCTGCTGTCATCTCATACACAGCACACCTATAACAGCCATTCCCAGTTCAACTCTTACCCCCATGGTCCCACTTCTGCTCTGTTTTCAGCACGCCATGGAGAAAGTTCTGGGGTTGCCTTTGATCTTTCACCTTCATTCCTCCTGCCAACCTCCTATTTCTTACAGTTTCTCTCAGATTCACCATTCTCAAGCTTCCCTCCACCACGAATCTCTGAGCCCATCACTCTCAGCCGCATTGCTTAAATAGGGCCAGGTCTCGCTGGCCTTCTGGCTGATCTTACCTGGTCCCCCATATCTTGCCCAGGCTACAAAGCCAGTCTCAACAGAGACCCTGGCAGGGACTTATTAAATACGGGCTTGAAAGACAAGTTCGTATGCGGCTCATGGCACTTTGGGTTTCGCTTTCAGTTCTGATTGCTCTGGGTTCAGCCACCACTGTCTTTGCATTCAACAGTACTTCTGCTTAAATGACGCGGCTGTGTGTATGCAGGACTGGGGAAGACTATCCACCTCCATGGGGTGGAAGATCTGCTGGGACCTTATGAAGGTACCAAGAAGCTGAAAGCCAGAATTTGGCAGGAGAGGGTATGGTGCTTAAGATGGAATGGGCCAGGAACAGGGGCTGCATTTCTTCTACAAAGGAAAGGACTCTCCTCATCCCTGCCCTCACGGTACCACCTGTGCTAATCTACTGACCCTGTGCCCCGTCGCAGGAAACCCCAGACAGACTCACCAGGATCCGGTGATCAAACTGCACCATGGTGGGATTCTCAAACACATTCTTCAGGATGGGGGAGAAGGTGAAGAGATCTCCTGGGATCCAGGATTCGCCCATCTTGGGGAAGGAGTTGTAAACTAACCCGGCATCGAGCCCTGCCACAAAAGCCCCTGCACGCCAATGACAGAAGGAGAAGAAGAAATATTAATTCTGATGCAAAGACATTATCCCAGTGTCAGGCAAACTAGTCAAACAAGGAATAATAAAAAGATCATTAGCTGGATTCTCAAATAGGAAATATATATGTCACGGACCCATCACCATGGAGATGTTTAGGTAAACAACTGTTACACTACAAATCATGTTGCACCTGAAACGAACACATGACATATGACATATGCCTATTCTGTCTTAAAAAACACACCCACAAAGGAACTACTGCCACCCAAATTTCTAGCATGCCGCCAGCCAACAGAGGTGTGGCCTGGAAGCCCTGAAAGGGGCTTATTAGCCTGGAAAACAGGCTCAGTGATTTGCCACCTGAGACCTTCTGATCTGTTCTGGAATGTTCTTCCCACAGGAGTCTGCACGATGTCTTCCTCCACTTCCTCAGGTCTCCACACAGATGCTGCCTCACCGGAGCCTTCCCCAATAATCCTGTGGGGCAGCATTCTCCAACCTCACCTCTATCCCCTCTCCTGCTTTATTTATTTATTTTTTCCCCCTCCAGCACTGAAGATTGTCTGACATGTTTTATCTTTCCCAAGTACTCGAAAGATGAAAAAGGAACACAGAAATGCAACAAATAAATAAAACCACAAAACCAATTATACACTAAGTCCTGGATAAACACATGAAGAGGGTGTCCATGAATTAAAGGATGACTCAACCATTGTTTATCACAGAGGATTCAGGGACAGTTAAATAAAATCCCTTATTTTTGCAAAGGACACTTATAAAGTCAAAATCTATGGTCTTCTGGGGTTGGAGCAATAGGACAGCAGGTAAGGTGCTTGCTGGGATCGGTCCCCAGCATCCCATAGGGTTCCTCAAGCCCCACCAGGAGTGATCCTTGAGTGCAGAGCCAGAAGTAAGCCTTGAGTACCCCAAAAACAAACGAACAAAAAACAATAACAAATTTATGTTCTTTCACCGTAAAAAAGGTGGGGGATGTGTTAATCACTGGTTTGATAGTCTTAATATTATTATTTTTTAAGCTTTTGGGTCACATGCGACAATACACAGGGATTACTCCTGGCTTTGCACTCAGGAATTAGTCCTGGCGGTGCTCAGGGGACCATATGGGATGTTGGGAATTGAACCCGGGTTGGCCGTTTGCAAGGCAAACGCCCTCCCCGCTGTGCTATGGCTCCAGCCCCTGATGGTCTTATTTTGAGTGCTGCTGTCCAACAGAACTTTCTGGGATGATGGAAATGTTTTTTTATATCTGCCATCAACCACAACAGCTGCTAACTGCATATGGTTCCTGAGCACCGGAAATATGGCTAGTGTGACAACTAAAAATTTTCAATTTCATTGGGATTTTAGCAAATTTATCTTTAATTGCCACATGAAGTGATGGATCACTCTATGATCCTACACTGAGAGAGGCAGAGGTGTGATTTATTATTTATTTATGCTCCAGGGCCTCCTACATACAAGGCAATCAATCATTCAATGACAGTTAAGCCCCAGCCTTGTCCCTAGAGGGAGACTGCAATGATGGGCAAGGAACCATCCTGGTCTCTTCAGTCCAGGGAATGCTCTTCAGTCTTGGTGTAAGGTCACAGCAAAAACAGTCGTAATCATGTGAGCATGGTGACAGCTGACACCACAGCCTCCAAGACATGCCAGGGACTGTTCTATAGCACCTCCCATATGTGACTTGGGCAACTATCATCACCCCCATTTCCCAGATTTGGGAATAGAAACCTCCGGGGTGGAGGGTTCTGTTTTTGAACTGTTTGCCTTGTGTGTGTTGGCCCGACCAATCCAGGTTTGATTCCTCTGCCCCTCCCGGAGAGCCCAGCAAGCTACCAAGAGTATCTCGCCCGCACGGCAAAGCCTGGCAAGCTACTTGTGACGTATTCGATATGACAAACACAGTAACAACAAGTCTCACAATGGAGATGTTATTGGGCCCGCTGGAGCAAATTGAAGAACGGTAGGAGGACAGTGCTACAGCGCTACTCACTGGGGAAGAGTAGAGTTGGTGGAATCGTCATGGTGGCGTATTAACATTTAAAAATATCTGTGTGTGATTCAGCCACTAATACAGTTAAAAAAAAAATAACAAAAAACCACCAAAAAACAGCAGCTCTCACTTCAGGCCCATGTTTTCTCCTGAACACGTGTCTCACTTGTTCGTCTCTATGTCTTTTTGCTTTTTCCACTCTGGAGAAGCCCGTGTTCTCTCTTGAGTGAGAGTGGAGAGTGTGGAGAGAGGAAGGTGTGAAAGGGAAATATGGGAATACGGGAGAGAAGGCCAAACTTTAGGCAGGAAATCGGGTAGAGAATGGGCCGCCGTGCGAGGAGGCGTACCTGAGAGTGCCGTGAAGAACACCAGGCCCGCTGTCCCGTGGGCAAAGCGTCGCAACTGCACGAGCTGACGGGTTTCAGGCAGCTGAATGACCAGAGAAAAGCGTTCAGATAAATGGTACCGCAGAACTTAGGAGTCACTGGGTGTCCAGGGCAAGATCCACACAGGAAGGTCAGGTTAGATCCTCCCTGGCACCTCGGCTGGAGCAGCTTCAGCAGGGGACTAGAGAGATGCTACAGGGGTCAGCCAAGAAGCTGACCCCAGTTGGATTCCCAGCACGTGGAGGGTCCCCTGAACACTGCCAGGAGTGATCCCTGGGCACAGAGCTAGGGGTAGCCTCTGAGCACTGCTGGGTACGACCATGGCAGATGCCCATCTAAAAACCCAGACAACCCGGTCCTTCATATCACATGCTCAGAACCAGCTCCTGCCTCGGTCTCTCTCCTCTCTAACCTCCTCTGGGGTCAGCAGTGAACTGGTGGAAACCTCTCTCACTGATACTCCTTCCAACCTTTTCTTTTTTTAAAAAATTTTTATTAGTGAATCACCGTGGGGTACAGTTACAGACTTACAAACTTTCGTGCCTGCATTTCAGTCATACAATGGTCAAGTACCCATCCCTCTACCAGTGCCCATTTTCCACCACCAGTGGTCCCAGCATCCCTCCCACCACCCCCAACCCTTCCCCTCCATCCTACCCCGCCTCTGTGGCAGGATATTCCCTTTTGTTCTCTCTCCTTTCTTCCAACTTTTCTTGAAGTTTGTGCTTTCCACCGTTTTCCAGCGGCAATGCTGGTAAAAGATTTAGCACCCAGACTAAATTCACCTTTGAATGAGTTGTTGCAGCCTTTTTTCCTTTGCAGTACTACAACTGGTCAGTCCTGAAGTTCAGAATTCCTCTGAACATTGACTCTACCTGTTTCCTGGCAAATTGACGTATATGACTAAAGGAATGTGTGCATTTTTGACCGTGACTTCCACTGGAACCAGAGTTTCCATCTCCCCACCCCAGCTAACCTCGGTAACAGCAGCACTGACTCTTACCCTGAGTGGCGGGAGCAGCAGTGAGAGCGAGGTCCATAAGCTGGCACAATAAAGAACCAGGGCAGACCCCAAGTGGGCAGCCAGACGGTACTGACTGACCCGAGGGATGTCGTGGGAGTCTGGTTTTTCTTCTAATCCACTTTTCACCATGTACCATCCCAAAAGACCCTAGAGTCAAATGGAGAAGAGGCAAATCAAACCTGCCGACACGATTTGATTCTGTTCTCGGAAGAAGCGAGCTACGTGGCACTCCCAGCCTGGCCTCTCTTTCCCATATCCTCCCCCCACCGCCCCGACACCTCTCAGTTTCTTAGGAATCAAGACCACATCCTCGCACATGACTATTCTTTACTGAGTGTAAACTACAGCAAAGCCGTTGTACAGAAACAAAAAAGTTTTTGGACAAAATCTAATATATGCTTAATCTAACTTAACATTATGCAGACCAGTAAGACAGACTAAAAAGCAAGGGCTGTTTCTATAAAAATTAAGACCGAATGCTTTAGAAGAGCCTGACTGAAACTGCTTAAAAAGTTCCTGCCAAGTGAGGTGTGAGGAGCCAATGGGAGAAGACTGGGGAGTCTTACAGAAACCTGTAAGGCTTTGTAGGCAAATGGCATTGCGAATATCTTACATTCCACTGCTCTAGAAGAAAACTGAAATGAAATGATAATCTATGGGGAGCAAGGTTCAAAGGTGAATGCCAATAGAAGATTTAAAAGTACAGGTTTAGCACTTCATTAACATGGCAGAAAGGCAACAGAAGTACATGCTTAAATTATTTTGTTTGTTTTTTTTTTTGTGGGGGTTGGGGGCATACCTGATGATACTTAGGGGTTACTCCTGGCTCTGCACTCAGGAATTACTCCTGGCGGTGCTCGGGGGGCCATATGGGATGCCGGGGACAGTACTTGGGCTGACCTGGGCAAAGCAATCACCTTATTCGCTGTACTACTGCTCTTAAATTGGAAAGTTGTGGTCAGGGGCTGAAGAAGGAGAACAGCTTCACAAGCTGAGCACAGGCTTTGCCTGCTGGGTCCCAGGTTCCATCTCTGGTACTGCACGTGGTCCCCAGAGCACTGCTGGGAGCATCTCCACAGCACCGAGCTGGGAATAGCCCCTGAGCACCACCAGGTGCAGCCCCCCCAAATGGCACTACGAAACCCAACAGTAGTTAGGGTGCATGCCTAGCAGGTACCCCCTCGGGTTTGATTTCTACCGCCACAATCCCTCAGCATAGCCAGGTACATCCCTGGGAGCCTGAACATCGCCAGGTGCAGCCCCAGAGGTCGTTTAACCCCAGCACTTCTGGGCCCCAACACCACCACATCTTTGGACCTTGCATTTATTTATTTTTTCTTTTTGGGTCACACCTGGCGATGCTCAGGGGTTACTCCTGGCTTTGCACTCAGGAATTAGTCCTGGCGGTGCTCAGGGGACCATATGGGATGCTGATTTAGAACCCAGTCAGCCAGGTGCAATGCAAACACCCTGCCCGCTGTGCTATTATTGCTCCAGCCTCTGGGCCTTGCATTTAAATGGTGCCTGCTGGCCAAAAAATGCCCGTGGGGCCCTAGGTCTCCTGAGGCCACTTGGGAGCCAAAAATGCATAAAGTCACTTAAAGCAAGGAAACACAGGACAAATAATACACAGGGAGCTTTAGAATTGGGGGAGGCCCAGATAGTACAGCAGATAGGGCGCTTACCGTGCATGTGGCCAAACCGGGTTCAATACTCAGCACCACATAGTCCTCTGAGCCCTGCCCAGAGCCAGGAGTAAGCCCTGAGGAGTAAGCCTTGGGCCCCAAATGAAAAACAAATGTACTTTTTTTTGGCGGGGTGGGGATGGTGGTTCCCAAGCAGCGCTCAGGAGGCCCAGGAATTCCACCAGAGAATCTCGGTCCACCAGGGTGGGAGTTTGATGCAAGGGTCCAAGGATGCAATGGTAGGTCTGGGGATTATGTGGGCTGTCAGAAAGATGAGGGGTCTCCAAGGTTGTAAGTAGCAGTGCCCTGGGGACCACACAATGTCAGGAAATCAAATCTAGGCTGGATGCATGCAGGGATTTCACCACTGTATTCTTTCTCTCTTGGCCCCTAGACCCGTCAGCTCCCGTCAGTGAGATTGGCCCTTCCACTCCTACCCTCCAGCCGACTTGCAGAGGGAGGACTCTTGCAGCTCTTCTAAAGACACTTGTCAGGAATTTTTTCCAGACATTTCTTGTCCCCTTCAACCTAATACTAGCCTGAATAGTCTAATTAGCTTGATTCAAAATTCTGTCCTCCTGGGAGTCTGCCTTGGTGGGTTTTCTTTATTCTAAAATAAACTTTGATGCTCAGGTGTTATTCCTGGCTCTACACTCAGGAATTACTCTGCCGGTGCTCGGGGACCACATGGGATGCTGGAGACAGGGTTGGCTGTGTGCAAGGCAACTTCCTACCGCAGTACTATCTATCTCCCAGGACTTCTAAACTTTAATTTTTTTCTTGCCTACACTCCTGTGTTACTATAAGAGATTATTAACTGCCTTTTTATTATAGTTTCTATTGCCTCTCACATACTCTCTCCCTTAGTTCATACGTTAATACTTCCAAGTTAAATTAACCAACCAATTAGCTTCCTCCCAATCAAAGTTTGCTCTTTTTCTGATGCTCAGATACTCTCCCTTGGGGCCTTTCTCCTTTGACCCAGTAACTCACAGGTCCTCTCTCACATTCCTTCCCTGGTTCTTAATCACAGCTAAGCCCATAACTCGGGAGTCTTTCAAAGCTTTACCTTTAACAGCATGAATTTTAACAGCACAACCTTTAATCGCATAACTTTCAATAGCAGTCCAGGTTATGTGATTATTATTTTCTTTCTTTCCATTCTCCCCTATCCAAACCCCTTTTGGCAATGCTGGGGATTGAACATAGAGCCTCACATGTTAAGCATGAACTCAACCACAAAGCCATATACCTGACCCCTCAACTTAGGTGATCTTAATCACCACTTTATATCTGAACTCAGAGATAATTATATCTAGGATCATTCCTACCAGAAAATGTTGCTTTCTTTTAGAAGTTTCCTATTTGTTCTGTAATTGTTCTCGTTTAGGGATCCCACCTCTCTCATCTAGCATTTAAGTCAGTAACAGGGAAGAGATAAGAGCCCAGGAGCAGAGCCCTGGAGGGAAAGAAACTCTAATTCCCCTGACACAAAACTATATTTACTAAGGGCTTACTGATGACTCCTCGCAGTAATTTTCTTTACACATGTGATCTCATGGAACACACAAACACAGTAGGTAATGTGATTACACCACCTCACCGAAAGGGAAAGCAGGACTCACAGATGTTAGATAACTTGCCCGACTATAGAGGATCCGGGCCTTGAAGCTTGGTCTGGGACACTAAAATCCATGGTCCTGCTCATTCCATTACACTATCTCTGAGATTACTTCCTTAAAACATGCCAACTGGGAAGGTCCTGGGAGCATCTCTGGTTTGCCAACCTTGAATGACTCTCACCTGGAAGCAGACTAAACCACAGAGGGCAAGAACACGTCCTTTCATGCCACGGCTGAGCCAGCCCTTTCTCCAAAAGTAGGCAGCGGGCAGGATGTATGCCAGGCCTACCAGACGACCCCACATTCGGTGCGAGTATTCCATGTACCAGATGAACTTGAACTCTGCCAATGTCATATCATGATTCAAGCTGGGTGGAAAGAGAAGTGAAAAGAGAAGAAAGAGAAAACATCTCTCCGATCTCCTTTTCAGATGGAATGCTGGAACATTCTCTGTCCTGACTTCCAAGAGCCTTGCCCTTTTCTCGCCCAGATACCTCAGGACCAACCACTCTGGAATTAGGGGTGAAGAGCTGGGTGCTCACTAAATACGAAGGAGTCAAACATCAAAAATATTAATAACCTCTTATAACCACTGTGTAACATTATGGTAAGACACTGCATGTGGCAGACATGGTTCAATCCTCATCACCTTAAGTGGTCCTCCCCACCCCCACCAAACACCACAAGGAGTGATCCCTGAGCACTGCTCGGGTATGATTCCCCAGGCCCCAAAATAATAAAGATAATTAAGCAAAAGATCAAGTGGGGCTACCGCGCGAGGTATCTGATTCTCTTTAAATACTCACATTTTAAATTCTGGAAATTGCTGGTATTTTTGGAATTCGGCTTCCCATTCCTCTTGGGTTGTAGGTGGCTTCATCTCCTTAATTAAATGCCAGTCTACCATGGAGAGGCCAGACTCAGTCAACCTGAAAGTGGAAAGAAACTTGAATGTGTGCACACTGTTGGATTACTTCGATGATTCATGGCAGCATTGACCCGAATCCAGCCCCGAAAAGTACAAGGTTTCATTGGTTTTTCTGATTCCCTGCTCTCTTTGTGAGAATTGTAAGAATTTTGTGAGCAACAGCTATCATTAGGTACAAATTCCTTTGCTCCTGCTCTTTTAGTGCTTTTTTTTTATTATTAAAGTCTATTTTCTTTCTTTCACTAGAATTCCTCAGGTAAAAACCAATTCTTGGTCCAAAGAAATGTGCCCTAAAGGGTTCCTTAACATTATTTGCAAAAGGAAAAACAGAGCTGCAGCTATGACACACTTAGTTGTTCTGTGGATTTAAAGACAAGAAAACTCAAATTAGTTGCACTTTCTCATAACAGCCAGGACACGTGAAGGTAATTCGGAAAAAAGGCACAGTGAATGTGGAGAGAATTTGAGGAGCTCATACTTTATTAACAAAGAAAGTAGCATCACCAAAGGGAGTTAGGGTTCCTCAAGTAAAAGGTTTTAGGTCTGAGGCAGGAAGGGTACATGATGAACCTGAAATAATCTTACCTCAAAAGCAAGGAATCAAAGGTTATTAGACTCCTTTCAAAAAAGGCTTTGGAGCCAAACCGCAGAGGCTCTTACTAAATAAAGATGGGAACCCGGAGTGAATCATTATCCCTGCAATGGAATGTAACCCGCCAAATATGCTTAAACTTATTAAAATCCCATTATGATTCAAAACTCAAAATTCAAAACGACTATTTATTTACTTTTTTTTTAGTTTTCAGGGTACCTTAAATATCCAACCTGCACGGCAGAGCCTGGCAAGCTATCCGTGGTCTATGCCAAATAGACCAAATTGATATGCCAAATCCAGTAATAAATGGATCTCATTTCCCTAACCCTGAATATGCAGAGTCGAGAAGGATATGGAAGGAGAGGCTGATAAAACACCAAGGCAGACATAGGCTGCCAAAACGCAGAAAAACAAAAATGATTGTCTGTACTTTTAATGCTCGTACGCTGGCATCTGCTGCATCCATTGAAGACCTTATGGTACAAGCGCGAAAGATCAAGTACGACATCATTGGTCTGACTGAAACGAGAAGACATCAATCCCATCATGCTGTTTTCGACACTGGAGAAGAACTGTTCCTTGGAACATGTGATAAAAGAGGCGTCGGTGGTGTCGGTATCCTTGTCAACACAAACTTAGTCACGAGCATTGATTCATTCGAATGCCTAACAACCCGAATCGGACGATTACACTTGAATAAATGTGGCTCACTACCGGCAGTTTCTATCTTTGTTGTCTATGCACCAACATCCAGTTATGGTGAAAGAGAAACTGAGAAATTCTACATGGAGCTGGAGAAGTTCTATAAAGAAGATCACACCTTCTACAAGATCACTGTCGGTGATTTTAATGCCAAGATAGGACCAAGAAGATCAGTCGATGAACTCCACATCGGAACCCATGGCCTGGAATGGAACGAACAGGGTGACAGACTGTCTGAGTTCATCATGTCAACCAAAACCTTCCATGGTAACTCACAATTCCAAAAGGCTGAATCTAAACGTTGGACATGGGAGTCTCCCGATGGACGGTTCCACAATGAAATAGACCACATCATATTCAATCGGCGGTTTTGCCTAACCGATGTTGCTGTTGTCCCAAAATTCCAAACGGGATCAGACCACCGTCTTCTTCATGCAAAATTCTACCTCACAGAACGAGGAGAAAAGAATGCAAGGTTTAAGAAGAGGACTCCCAGAATAACCACCAACTGGGAGCTCTTTGGCTCTATTGCGGCAACATGGGAAGATGCCGTCATTGACAACATTGATGAGGAATACGATCGAATGATTCAGCACCTCCATGATTGTGCAAGGAATGCGAAGAAAGAGATAACCACAAAAAACCGTCTTTCTTCGAACACTCTTGAACTTATTCGCCAACGTGGCTTGGCACATGCCTCAGGCAACCACAAGCGAACATCCGAACTGGCAAAACAGTGCAGAGAAGCCATCAAGGATGACCTCAAAAACAGGAGAGCAGCAGTACTGGTAGATGCAGCAGAAGCTGGGAAAAACATTCGTAATGCCCGCCTGTCCTTCACCAACTACAAAACCAAGATGACTGCCCTCCGACATCATGATGGATCTATCACATCTTCCAGAAGGGCAATGGAGAAGATTATTCATGACTTCTACTCAGATCTCTTTAATAGCCACATCCACTTGCCCACATACCACATACCACATGATGGATATGTCATTCCCAATGTTCTCCCTTCCGAAATCCAACATGCCATCTCGTCGGTAAAGAAACAAAGAACACCTGGCCCAGACAAGATCAGACCTGAACACCTGAAGAACTTACCATCAGTACTCATCAATACATTGGCTCGACTCTTCACACGCTACCTGTCTGAATGCAAGGTTCCATCCCAATGGAAAACCAGCAGGACTGTACTACTATACAAGAAAGGAGACATCCACGACATTGGCAACTATCGCCCAATCTGCCTATTGTCTGTCATCTACAAACTATTCACTCGAGTCATCCTGAATAGGATTAGCAGAACACTAGATGAAGGACAACCATGTGAACAAGCTGGATTCCGAAAAGGATTCAGTACCATCGACCATATCCACACAATAACCAAGCTCATTGAGGTATCTCGGGAGTTCAAGATGCCGCTCTGTCTAACGTTCATTGATTTAAAGAAGGCCTTTGATTCTGTTGAGACGGAAGCGGTCATGGAAGCCCTAGCCAATCAGGGCGTACAAACTCAATACATCAGGATCCTTCGTGAGCTCTACTGCGGATTCACTACCAAGATCTCACCATTCTACAAAGAAGTAATCATCCATATCAAGAGAGGGGTTCGGCAGGGTGATACCATTTCACCAAAACTCTTCAGTGCCACCCTCGAGAACATCATGCGACGACTGTAATGGGAAGGAATGGGAGTGAAGATAGATGGTCGGCAACTACACCACCTCCGCTTTGCTGATGACATCGTTCTAATAACACCAAACATCAGCCAAGCGGCACAAATGCTGAACGACTTTGACCGTGAATGTGGAAAGGTCGGACTACAGCTGAATCTTACGAAGACAATGTTTATGAGAAACAGCCTTGTTGCTGACGCTCCATTTGCTCTCAACGGAACCACCATCTCCGAATGCAACAATTATATATACCTAGGTCGAGAAATCAACATGATGAATGACCTGGCACCTGAGTTGCGCAGGAGGAAGAGAGCGGCTTGGAATGCCTTCAAGAGCGTTGAAGAAATAACTAAGAGGACAAAGAACCTCCAGCTATGAGCACATATCTTTGATTCCACTGTTCTTCCTGCATTAACATATGCCTCAGAGACCTGGACCCTACGAGAACAGGATGAGAACGCTATTCGGGTCTCTCAAAGAGGAATCGAAAGAGCTATGCTTGGAATATCACGATTCACTCAAATGAGAGATAGAATCCGGAGTTCTGATCTTCGTCAACGCTCAAGAATCAGGGACGCTGTCTCATTTGCCAAGACATCAAAAATCAGATGGGCTGGACACGTAATGAGGTTTACAGACAACCGCTGGACTAGAGCCATTACTGATTGGATTCCACGGGACATCAAAAGATCATGTGAACGCCCACCTATAAGATGGTCAGACTTCTTCGTCATGACCCTGAATGATCGGTTTGAGGCTCTGCATGTTCCTAGAACGAACAGATACCATTGGGCTACGCTAGCACGCAACCGGGATGAATGGAGATGTTACTGGCACACGCTCGAATAAATCGATGAATAACGGGGATTAAGTGATAAGTGAAGTGAAGTGATTCAAAACTCAAACACTGCACTAGCCACTTTTAGGAAGCATATGGTAACCAGTCTATTGTTTTATTTATTTTTTAAAAAATGGTAAAAGGGCAGAGAGAAAGTGCAGGAAATAAGGTGGCTCCCTTACACATAGCTGACCTAAACTAGATCCCCTGAATGGTCCCATGAACCCTGGGTCACTCCTGAGCAGAAGGCCAGAGATAGGCCTGCAGGGTGTGGTCCCAAAACAAAACAAATATTGGTAAATAAGGGGAAAACATTAAGTAAATATCTTGCTGTTTCTACCTCAATGGTAACTGAAGGATAACCATTTGTTGATGAGGATATTTCTCTTTCGAGTTGTGCTAATAAAATTAGACTTCTCTTGCAATTCTAATAAGATAATAAATCAATGATTGCCCGTGGATCTTCACCAGATACCAGATATTTATTAATTCTGATTACCTATAATGTCAGGCTGGAGCGATAGCACAGCGGTAGGGTGTTTGCCTTGTACGGGGCCAGCCTGAGAGGCGGGTTCGATTCCTCTGCCCCTTTTGGAGAGCCCGGCAAGCTACCGAGAGTATCCCGCCCACACAGCAAAGCCTGGCAAGCTCCTTGTGACATATTCGATATGCCAAACACAGTAACAACAAGACTCACAATGTTACTGGGCTCACTAGAGCAAATCGATGAACAACGGGAGGACAGTACTACAGTGCTACCTATAATATCTTTCCCCTCCCTGATCAAGCAACAACCAGTTTACAGGAAATGCAGGGGCAGTGGATCAGTGTTAGAAAATACAACCATGCAAGAGGCAAGATCCATACTCTGGGAAATTTCAGAGCTGGCATGTGGCTCAGGGGTCAAGTGTCTGCCTTGCAAGTGTGAAGCTCTGAGTTTGAACCCTGGTGCCACAAAAAAAACTAAAAATAAAAATTGTGTTTCTTAAATAGGCAGCAAGTAAAACTTAACCTAGTCTTGGGCTAAACTGATAGTACAAGCAAGTAGCACGTTTGCCTTGCATGTGGCCTACCTGGGTTCGATCCCCAGCACCCCATATAGTTCCCTGAGTTCACCAGGAGTGATCCCTAAGCGCAGAGCCAGGAGATAGCCCTGAGCACTGCTGGGTGTGTTCCCCACCCCACCCCCACCCCCAAAATGCCTAACCCTGTCTTTAGGAAGGGTTCCTAGGAATTAAAAACCTAAGACGTTCCATGGCGAGGCAAATGATCAGATGAAACATTTCTGGCTGCAGTTTCTTGCGATGTGAAACAAGATTCCTCTATAACACATAGGAATATATACATGCAGCTGTAACGAGGGCTCCTAATGGAGCATCTGTGCACTGTCACCCAGTGCTGGCTCTCTAGAGTACGCACCTGGTTACTCCCCCGAGGATAACTGCTCCAGCCACGGTGCCACTGCAGATCAGAAGCCATCGGCCCACCACTCGCTCGGCAGCCTTGTAGGGAAGAGGCACCGTGCCCCTGCCAGACTGCAGGGCTACTTCCGAGACGGTGCTGTACTGGCCTGGCCTCACCGGGCGCCAGATCCCACGGGTGCAGCCACACTGAGGATCAAGACAGACAAATGACAACTGGATAAATAGGAACATCGGCTTCCGCCTGGGGAGTGGGGCCTGTCATGCCGCATGGCCACGGCTCCTGCTCTGGTCCCTCCCCATGTCTTATCTGGATGGATGGATACAGCAGCCAGTTCCTCCCACGGGGTCAATTCCTTGGGACCTCAGCCACCTATTCCCAGGCTGTCTGAAGCCTTCTGGTCTCTGTTTTCTTCCTTTGAACTTTACACCTCCATACGATTCTTTCCTCTCTCCAGGGCCTTTACCATGATTTCTGACTTAGGAGCACTCCTCTCCTCCTGGGTATTATCTCCTACCAGGCCTGCAGCTGCTCCCTGGGACAGTCCACTGTCCCCATGGCACCACCTGCCTGCACGGTCATGTCCCTTCGGATCTACATGTGTCCCTGGCACCCATTTGACTGTGAGCTGTAGGCCTGCAGTTCCCTCTTCCAAGCCCCCCTCGTTTCTAAACCAGTTCCCTTACAAGACTGTTTCTGAACTCTGATCCACGAATTTCCAAACGAATGGCCTTGCTAGCTTCTTCCCGCACAGGAGCCTTCTGGCACATTATCCCACTCCCCAGCCATTAAATACACAACGCCAAAAAAAAAAAAAAAAAAAGATTGTTAGTTGGGCAAAATGCACGCCTCCTCCCGGGCTTAAGTCACTAAGGGTCCAAAATCCCGGAGCCAGTTCTCCCCGTCTCTGATGAACGCCAAGCAGCTAGGGATGGAAGAAACCTCCCATTTCCTTCTCTGCAGAACGGGGCTGCCGGGGCAGAGCAGACTCACTCCCGCCGGGACTTACAGTCACGAAGCAAATATGTAGGTAGGTAGTGCTGGCCAGAGGGACGGGGCGGGGGGTAGGGCATTTGCCCTGCACACGGCTGGCCCGGGTTCCAGTGCTCGCACACCAGTTAGTATCCTCCAAGCTCCGCCGGGAGGGATCTCGGAGCGCAGAGCCTGGAGTGAGTACTGAGCCTCGCCGGATGTGGACCCCCAAACCCAGAGAACAAAAACGACCATGCTTTTATTAACGCGTCTGGCGCTCTGCCCTGTATTAAGTGATGTGCAGCCAGATGAAGCGTGCTCGCCCTGTTCCGGGTCGAGAGCACAGAGCCCCGGGAGGTCTGCAGCTCGGGCCACCGTGAGATGCGAGCTCCGCGGCCCCCGTCCTCGGCGCCGCGGTACCTGAGCTCGAGACGCAGCCCGGGGCGCCAGGAGCCTGAGACACTGGCCCCCGAGCCAGGCTTTCAAGGGCGGAACGAGCAATCGCTGCATCTTGGACACCGGGGCGCCGCCGCCACTCCTCCGCCTTCCCGGCTGCCGTCCTTTCCGCCCGCTGGGGGAAGCGCTTCCGGGCCACGCCCACCGGGCCACGCCCACCCAAGACCACGCCCCTCGGAGCCGGCGCGGTGGGGTCGCGGGTGATCGGGGACGCGCGGGGCGCGCGCCCGCCCGTCCGCCCGCGAGGACGCGCTCCCCGGGTCGCGCGCGCTCCGGAAGCCGGTCCGAGTGGGAGCCGGAGTCCGCGGCGGCGGCTGCGAGGCAGGCGGCGAGCATGAAGAGGCAGGCGGCGGCCGCCGAGCGCAGACGGGCGCGGATGCCGTCCGGGACGGCCGGTGCGGAGGGTGGCGGGGAGCTGCGGGCTGGCGGGCGGCGGTTGCGACCCCGGGAGCCTTTCGCCGGGGCGCGGGTTCGAGCCCCCGCGCCGGCCAGTTCCCCCCTCCCCCACTCCCCGCCTCTTGTCGTCCTGCCACCGTGTCCCCAGTGGTTTGATTTGCTCCGCCTCGCGCGGATCCGGGCGTCGCTGGGATCTTCAGAGTTCGGGGGGGCCACCGGGGTGGCCTCCCGGTGACCGGGGGCTGCTAGGACAGCGTGCGAGACGGGGGGGGGGGGGGGGGGGAGGGGGAAGTTAAAGGACCGTCGGGCCACACGGATGCGCGTCCCGGATGCGCGTCCCGTTGCTGCGCTGGGGCATGGTGTGGACACGGGAATGTGGCACCTCCGCCCCCCGCACCCCGGGGCTCCTCGGCACCAGCTGCTCTCAGTTGGGGGGGGGGTGTCCTTCCAGCCGCCTGAAAACTGTGGACCGCACTTGGCTTAATATATCCGTAGTGACATTGCTGAAAGTGACCCCCAAACCTCAAAACAAAATTGAAAACAAAGCTTACTACTATGTTTTTTTTCTTTTTTTTCCTTTTTTGGGTCACACCTGGCGATGCACAGAGGTTACTCTTGGCTCTGCACTCAGGAATTACCCCTGGCGATGCTTAGGGGACCATATGGGATGCTGGGACTTGAACCCCTATTGACGGCGTGCAAGGAAAATGCCCTACCCGCTGTGCTATTGCTCCAGCCCTAAGCCTGCTATGTTTTATGAAAAATTTAGGCTGAGTAGCTTGTCCGGGATTACTCACAAAAAAGTAATGGGGCTAGATTTGAAGGTGATCTCCAGCTCTGAAACACTTATTTGTTATAAAGAAGTTTTTAAACTTTCTGCAAGCGTGGAGAAGCATTGGAAAGGATCAGACCTGGAATACCGAAACGGGGTCCGTGTTTTAGGACGACTCATTTGGTATTAATGAATTCCAGACCTGGCGCCCCACCTATAATCCCTCCAAGTTTTTTTTTTTTTCTGTTTGGGTGTTGCACAGAGTGGTGATGGGGTCACTCCCAGTGTTGTTTAGGGAACCGTGCAGTGCCAGGGATTGAACCCAGACTTCTAGCACGCAAAGCATATATGAACAGCCCACTGAGCAATATATTGCTCTGGCCCTTATTGTATAATTTCTTAAAATTATGTCTTTGTACTTATTTCACAGTCCTAAGAGACCTCGATTTAATAAATAATACAGTATTTTATTGCATTGATTGGCCCTAGTATATTTATCAGAAATGATTTGCAATGTTCTCCATGTATTTTAGGAGCAGCAAATGGATTTCTTATGGAAGTATGTGTTGATTCAGTAGAGTCTGCAGTAAATGCAGAAAGAGGAGGTAAGACAAATAAGCAGATGAATAATAGTTGGCAGTCCTTTAAGAGCCTGAAAGCAAATCCTGACAACTGACCTTGGGATCCCTAGTGTATGATCTTTTTAATCCTTTTAAAAACTTAGCCAACCAGAAGACATACTGGAGAATAATCTTCTAGTCTTCTTCCCTAAAAGATCAATTTTTGGGGGAGGGGGCTACAGCCAGCAGGGTGCTCAGGGGTTATTCCTGGCTCTGTGCTCAGGGATCATTCCTGGTGGGACTGGGGGACACTATGGGATGCTACGGATGGAACCTGTGTTGGTTGTGTGTGAGACAAGTTCCCTACCTGCCCTATTCTCTCTTACCCCCTAGAATGTCACTTTTTGAGTCCATTCACAGTAGGTATTTACTTATCAGTTTCTTGTATTGAACTTACTAAAAATTTAATTTTTCCAAACTATTGATTTTTAAGATTATTTGTAGAGATTGGTTGTCATTTTCATCACTTAACTTAATCACTTAACTTCCCGTTAGTCGTCGATTTGCTCAGGCGGGCGCCAGTAACGTCTCCATTCGTCCCTGTCGCGTGCCAGTGTAGCCCAATGGCATCTGTTCACTCTGGGAACATGAAGAGCCTCAAACTGATCGTTCATGATCTTGATGAAGAAGTCTGACCATCTGGTAGGTGGGCGGCCACGCGGTCTTTTGACATCCCGTGGGATCCCGTCGGTAACAGCTCTAGTCCAGCAGTCGTCTTTAAATCTCATTACGTGACCAACCCATTTGATTTTTGACACCTTGGCAAACGAGACAGCGTCCCTGATTCTTGATCCTCGACGGAGGTCCGAACTCCGGATTCTTTCTCTCATTTGAGTGAAACGTGATATTCCAAGATATTCCAATCTTTCTCAGTTCCTCTTTGGGAGACCCAAATAGCATTCTCATCCTGTTTGCATAGGGCCCAGGTCTCTGAGGCATATGTTAATGCAGGAAGAACAGTGGAATCAAAGAGATGTGCCCGGAGCCAGAGGTTCTTCGTCCTCTTAGCTATTTCTTCGACGTTCTTGAAGGCGTTCCAAGCTGCTCTCTTCCTCCTGCGCAGCTCAGGTGCCAGGTCGTTTGTCATGTTGACTTCTCGACCCAGGTACGCATAGCTGTTGCATTCGGAGATGGTCGTTCCGTTGAGAGCGAATGGGGCATCAGGAACGAGGCTGTTTCTCATAAACATTGTCTTCGTAAGATTCAGCTGTAGTCCTACCTTTCCACACTCATGGTCAAAGTCGGCCAGTATTTGTGCCACTTGGCTGATGTTTGGTGTTATTAAAACAATGTCATCAGCAAAGCGGAGGTGGTGTAGTTGCCGACCATCTATCTTCACTCCCATTCCTTCCCATTACAGTCGTCGCATGATGTTCTCGAGGGTGGCACTGAAGAGTTTTGGTGAAATGGTATCACCCTGCCGAACCCCTCTCTTGATATGGATGATTACTTCTTTGTAGAATGGTGAGATCCTGGTAGTGAATCCGCAATACAGCTCACGGAGGATCTTGATGTATTGGGCTTGAATGCCCTGCTTGGCTAGGGCTTCAATGACCGCTTCCGTCTCAACAGAATCAAAGGCCTTCTTTAAATCAATGAACGTTAAACAGAGCAGCATCTTGAACTCCCAAGAAACCTCAATGAGCTTGGTTATCGTGTGGATATGGTCAATGGTGCTGAATCCTTTGCGAAACCTGGCTTGCTCGCATGGTTGTCCTTCATCTAGTGTTCTGCCAATCCTATTTAGTATGACTCGAGTGAACAACTTGTAGATGGCAGACAATAGGCAGATCGGGCGATAGTTGCCAATGTCATGGATGTCTCCCTTCTTGAACAGTAGTACGGTCCTGCTGGTTTTCCATTGGGATGGAACCTTGCATTCAGACAGGTAGCGTGTGAAGAGCCGAGCCAGTGTATTGATGAGTACTGATGGCAGGTTCTTCAGGTGTTCAGGTCTGACCTTGTCTGGGCCAGGTGCTGTTTGTTTCTTTACTGACAAAATGGCGTGTCGGATTTCAGAAGGGAGAACGTTGGGAACGACATATCCTTCCTGTGGTGGAATTTGGTATGTCGGCAAGTGGACATGGCTATCGAAGAGATTTGAGTAGAAGTCATGGATAATCTACGACATCATTGGTCTGACCGAGACAAGAAGGCATGAATCTCACCATGCCGTTTCGACACTGGAGAAGAATTGTTCCTCGGAACATGCGATAAAAGAGGTGTCAGAGGCATCGGTGTCCTTGTCAATACAAACTTGGCCATGAGCATTGATTCATTCGAATGCCTAACAACCTGAATCAGACGCTTACATTTGAATAGATGTGGCTCACTGCTGGCAGTTTCTATCTTTGTTTTCTACGCACCAACATCTCATTATGATGAAAGAGAAATCGAGAACTTCTACATGGAGCTGGAGAAGTTCTATAAAGAAGACCACACCTTCTACAAGATCATTGTGGGTGATTTTAATGCCAAGATAGGACCGAGAAGATCAGCTGAAGAACTTCACATCGGGACCCATGGCCTAGAATGGAACGAACAGGGTGAGAGACTGTCTGAGTTCATCATGTTGACCAAGACCATTCATGGTAACTCACAGTTCCAGAAGGCAGAATCTAAACGTTGGACATGGGAGTCTCCCGGTGGACGATTCCACAACGAAATAGACCACATCATATTCAATCGACGGTTTTGCCTGACCGATGTCGCTGTTGTCCCAAAATTCTGAATGGGATCGGACCACCGTCTCCTTCGTGCAAAATTCTACTTCACAGAGCGGGGAGAAAGGGCTACAAAATTTAAAAAGAGAACTCCCAGAACGACCACCAACTGGGAGCTCTTTGGCACTATTGCAGCAACATGGGAAGATGCCATTGTTGACAACATTGACGAGGAATACAATCGACTGGTTCAGCACCTCCATGATTGTGCGAGGAACGCCAAGAGAGAGATAGCCACAAAAAAACGCCTGTCTTCTAAAACTCTTGAGCTTATTCACCAACGTGGTTTGGCGCATGTCTCAGGCAACCGCAAGCTAACGTCCGAGCTTGCAAAGCAGTGCAGAGATGCGATCAAGGAAGACCTCAAAGAGAGAAGAGCAGAAGTGCTGGTAGATGCGGCAGAAGCCGGGAAAAGTATTCGTAACGCCCGCCTGTCCTTCGCCAATTACAAGACCAAGATGACTGCCCTCCGACGTCCTGAGGGATCCATCACATCCTCCAGAACGGCAATGGAGCAGATTATCCATGACTTCTACTCAAATCTCTTCGATAGCCATGTCATTTTCATCATCAGAATTTTTTTTTAATTTTCTTTTTTTTTTTTTTTTGGCTTTTTGGGTTACACCTGGCGATGCACAGGGCTTACTCCTGGCTCTGCACTCAGGAATTACACCTGGCAGTAGCTTGGGGACCATATGGGATTCAGGGAATCGAACCTGGGTCAGCCGCGTGCAAGGCAAATGCCCTACCTGCTGTGCTATCACTCCAGCCCCCCATCATCAGAATTTTTATCTTTAAAATTTTTTTTAATCAAGAATTATTTTACACTTGGAACCAGCCTTAATAGTAAGCATATTCCTATCACTTTAGGGTCAGAAATTAAAAAAACAAAACTTTCATATGAAAAGTTTCAAATACACAGAAATAGAGAAAGGTGAATGAATCTCTGTATACTCAAAACACCGCTTCAAAAATTTTTTAAGAAAAGGCTCATTTTCCCTCTCTGATGGGTCAGCAAACTTTTGTGTGTGTGTGTGTGTGTGTGTGTGTTTTGGGGAGGGGGGACTATACCAGCAGCTCATGGGCTGCACTCGACAGTTGTTTCAGGGACCATATTATTGTGTAGATAAAACCCAGGCATGGACTCCAAATGATGAGCCATTTCTCTGGCCCAGCTAACTTTGCTGGAAAACAGTAGCAATATATATTTTCAGCTTTACAGTCTACATTTGATCTTCATCATATAACTATATATATATTTACAAAATGAAAGCATAAAAGTGTAGAAATCATCCTTACATGGCAGTTAAAAAAGAATTTAGTACTGATAAATCCTTCAACATAGATGGTTTTTGAAACATTATTCTTTGGGCTGGAGTGATAGCACAGCGGTAGGGCATTTGCCTTGCGTGCAACTAGCCTGGCCGAGCACCGTACGATTCCTCTGCCCCTCTCCGAGAGCCCGGCAAGCTACTGAGAGTATCTCGTCCGCACCGCAAAGCCTGGCAAGGTACCCGTGATGTATTCAATATGCCAAACACAGAAACAACAAGTCTCAAAAAAATAGAGACGTTACTGGGCCCGCTCGAGCGAATCGATGGATAACGGGAGGACCGTGACCTGGTGGTGCTCAGGTCTTATTCCTGGCTTTGCACTTAGAGATCACTCCTGGTGGGACTCTGGGGACTGTATTGGTACTAGAGATCAACCCTGGAAGGGTGTGTCCAAGGCAAAGCATCTTACTTGCTGTACTATCATGCCCACCCTAGAAATTTCAAAGTCACTAAAGTATATGAAGGGACAACCCAATGATATAATACAATAAAAATGTTAAGATAGCTAATTTAAATGAACTCTTAAACTGGACATTGGTAACATAATGTGGCCTGCAGACTAGAGTTGTGATTAAAAATAGTTTATTCTTATTTATGATTTCTCAGTTTGATTCCCTTCACCAGTCTTTAGAACCCTTGGTCTTAGATTTAGAAAACTGTAAAATTTGCTATTTAGTCCATTTTGAACACTTTTTGGACAGAGCCTCAGTTATCTTAAATTTAAAGATCAATTTAGCTGAGCAGTGTATCTTTCAAATCACAGGTGCTGGTCGGATTGAATTATGTTCCAGCTTATTAGAAGGAGGAACCACACCCAGCATGGGTAAGTGTTGTTTTAAGACTTTCTCATGTGTGTGAGTTGTCTGACAACTCGATTCCTTAGGGTCATTTACTGATATTGCTTGGTAACTCTGCCGTGGATACTAGTAGAAATGCCGTGGTTATGAATAAACGTATCAAAGATTCTGCCCAGGTTGATGTTGTTTTCCCACATACCAGAAAGTTGAGCTATAGAGTGGCTGTTAGTTAAATAGTTCAGTTATTCTGCACTGATGTCTTTCGGTCCGCCACCCCATGACTTTTTTTTTTTTTAACCCTGTGACTTTTGTCTTCATTTCTCCCTGCCCACAATTTGTGCTCTTGTCATTTCACTTCTATGTTAAAACCTCTATGCACTGTAGCACTGTCCTCCTGTTGTTCATTGATTTGCTTGAGCAGACCCAGTAATGTCTCCATTGTGAGACTTGTTACTGTGTTTGGCATATCAAAGACATCACGGGTAGCTTGCCAGACTTTTCCTTGTGGGCGGAATACTCTCAGGAGCTTGTTGGGCTCCAAGAGGGGTGGAGGAATCGAATGCGGGTCAGTCCAGCTGGCGGCGTGCAAGGCAAACGCCCTACCGCTGTGCTATTAATAATTATTTTCAAGGAGTCGGTCTCTTTAAGTTCCATCTCTTTGAAAGATTGAAGTAATAACAATCATTCACATACAGCACCTATTCTTATGCTCTTCATTTATTTTTTGTTTGTGTATTTTGTTTGTGTATTTTGTTTGTGTATTTTGGGACTGTACCTGGCTGTGCTCATGGTCGTCTCCTGGAAGAGCTGGAAGAGTTTGGTTTTGGTTTTGGGGCCACACCCAGCTGTGCTCAAGGTTTATTCCTGACTCTCTGCTCAGGGATCATTCCTAGTGGTGTTCCAGGGACCATTTGTGGTGCCAGGGATCAAAAGGGTCTATCACATGTAAAACTATCACCTTAATCTCTGTACTGTCTTTTCAGCTGCATAATAGCTGTTTTAATACCTAGCTGTAAATTCTAACATTTATATCAACTCCCAGTGAATTTCATTGGACTGACATACCACCTTAGGATAATTCTTACTGGATTTTACTTTGTTTGGTACTGGGTATTTTGGTATGCCTCCAAGTGCTCTCTTCTTTCCACCTTCACAGCATTATACTGCTCTGAGTTCTTCCTCAGCCACTGAGCTCTCTTCCGGATCCTTTCTTTAGGGGATCCCTAATAACAGAGCTACCAGGGTTGCTGAGAGCTTGTAGTGGTCACTAGGCTTGACCTCAGAAACTTGTGCTGGCCAGGAAAGTGCATTAAGCCAACGAGCCATCTTCTGAGCCCCTAGATATATAATTTTATTTATTTATTTATTTATTTATTTTTGCTTTTTGGGTCACACCCAGTGATGCACAGGTTATTCCTGGCTCTGCACTCAGGAATCACTCCTGGTGGTATTTGGGGGACCCTATGGGATGCTGGGGATCAAACCCAGGTTGGCTGCATGCAAGGCAAATGCTTTACCTGTTGTACTATAGCTCCAGCCCCAACCTAGAAATATTCTTGAGCAATTAAGTTACTTGGAAATCATTTGTAGTGTTCAGGTCTTGCGTTTAAGACGCTCTGGCAGAGAGATCAGTCTAGAGTAAATTATTTTCTATTAGTAAGGCAAGACTTCTCTGTTGACTCCACTCAGTGTTTCTTGAATCTTGATATTTTCCTCTCTGACTCGTAGGGATAGGCATTTTTCCTGCCTGGCCTGAATGACAGGTACTGTATCTTCTAATACTTTTTTAGGAGATGTGCTCCTGGCCTTCCTTAGTTTCCTTGCATGGCTGTGCTGACCAGTGCTTAGCAACAGTAAGAAGGAGAGTCTTAGCAGACCTCTGGAGGCTTCTTCCTGGCCTCCCAAGTATTAACTGCTTGATTCTAGCCACTTGGTCTCCCTTGACTCTGTTTTGTTTCCACAACTCATTTAATTCTCTAGGCTCCATCTGAGCTCCTCTTCCTACTGTGGGGACCTGGAAAATTCTCAAGGTAGTGATTAATCTAGGTCTAACAGAAATTATAGACTGTATAGTCTTACCGACTTTACCTTATTTGTTCCCCATCTTTCAGGTATCATTATCTTTTGTTTCGTATCCAGTGTTTTATAAGCTCATCAGAATTTCTTCTGATGTTTGGCTGTTTGTTTTTTTTAAACTTTGACCACACATGGTCATGGTGCTCAGGGGTTAGTCCTAACTCTGCACGCAGGAATCACTCGTGCCTGGGGATTGAACCTGATTCGGCCATCTGCAAGGCAATTGCCTTACCCACTTTACTGTCTTTTTGGCCCCTGGTGTTTGGCTGTTAAAGGTAGGATGATCAATCCAGTTTGTTACACTGTCTTGGTTAAAAGCAGATTACTCCACTGGAGTGATAGTACAGTGGGTAGGGCATTTGCCTTGCAAGCGCCAACTTGGGCTCTATCCCCGGCATTCCCCAAGCACTGCCAGGAGTAATTCCTGAGTGCAGAGCCAGAAGTAACCCCTGAGCATTGATGGGTGTGACCCAATAGGAAAAAAAAACAAAACATGTCTGTGAATTTTTTACTCCTAAAATAGATTACTCTGAGATTAAATGGCACCTCTATTTAGTATGAATAAAATAGCTTTGGGAATGGAATCTGTTTTTTGGCGACAGCAATTATGATTCAATGCTTGGTGTTGGACATATTGAAATCCCATGCAAACTTTCATTTCTTTTAATAGAAACAAAGTTTTTATAGGGTTAACTTGTCACAGATCATGTACTAACTGAGAGTTTCTGAAACAGCCATGAATTATGTGACGTTTAGGTACCTTTAAGACTTTTATTTTTAGGTACTGTGATTTATAAAACATTTTTTTAAATTTTATTTTTATAAAGTTGTTCACAGTAATTTATTACATTTAATATTCGAACACCAATCCCATCAGCATTGCACCTTCCCACCACCACATTTCGAATGATTCCCCCAAGTCCCAAATTGTTCTCCCCAAAGTGAACCAAAACGATTAATTTTGTATTGTTTGTTATGAATAAAATGCTAAAGATGGTCCAATAAAGTTTCCTCAGAGGAAAATGTGTGAAGATTGTTGTATTCATCCTGGAGCTATTAAGCCCTTGTATATGAGATTACTAACATGTTTAAAGGTTAAAGGTTGAGCCTTGTGTGCTTAAATTATATATTCCCCATGAGATTGATTGCCTTCTTCTTTAACCCCCATCGAATGTTGTGTGCTACTCTCAGAACATCAGTGGTGTAGAGTATGAGATGTCGCTTCAGGAATTCTAAAATTTAGAATATGATTATACAGATTCACTCATGGATGAGGCTCGTGGAGAGTGGCCGTGAGCATGGTGGCGATTGAGTTCTGGAGGTTTTTCTGCTGCCCTGGCTCTGTTGGGGCGGGGAGGGAAACTCACCCCTCTTCTTCTGAGTTGCCTCAGTTAAGACAGCCTGGCGCTGGATCTGGAGGCATCTCTACAGTGCGTTGTGCTATGGTTTGTAAAACTTTTATTTAAAAATTTTTTTTTTTATTTTATTTTTGCTCTTTTGGGTGGACTCTCCAAGAGGGGCGGAGGAATCGAACCCAGATCGGCCGCATGTAAGGCAAATGCTCTACGCGCTGTGCTATCGCTCCAGCCCCATTTGTAAAACTTTTAATGACAGTGTTTAATGCATAAAACATTTCAGCACCAGAATGTACCAGAATGCCCTCCTCTGCCCTCCTCCCTATTAAGGTACTTTTATTTGTAGACCTTTGTATAAAATCACAAATAGGTAGAACTTGTTTTCCTTTTACATATCTCTTTCAAAAAAACACTTTGTCTGTAAAGGGTCATGAACTATGTAATTCTTTTTTTTTTCTGGCTTTTTGGGTCACACCCAGTGATGCTCAGGGGTCACTCCTGGCTCTGCACTCAGGAATCACTCCTGGCAGTGCTGGGGGACCATATGGGATGCTGGGGATCGAACCCGGGTTGGCCGCATGCAAGGCAAGTGCCCTACCCGCTGTACTATCGCTCCGGCCCTGTTATTACTCTTATATTAGATTTTAAATAGAATTGTAATCAGAAAAAAAGACACCAGGAGCTGAAGTGATAGTGTAGTGGTCAGGGCGCTTACCTTGCCTGTGGCTGACCAGCTTCATTCCAGGAACTCCATATGGTCCCCTGAGTTCTGCCAGGGGTAATCCCAGATTACAGAGCCGGGAGTAAGCCCTGAGCACAAAGGCTGTGGTCCAAACACCAAAAATAAATAAATAAATAAAAAGAAAGAAAGAAAAAAAAAAGAAAAGAAAAAGAAGAGAAAACATCTTAGGTAAGACACTGACAGAACATTGAATGGGGTCTTTACTATACTTAAAAGTGTTATATACCAGGGCTGGAGTGATCGCACAACAGGTAGGGTGTTTGCCTTGCTCGCTGCCAACCCAGGTTTCATTCCCAGCATCCCATATGGTCCCCTGAGCACCGCCAGGAGTGTTTCCTGAGTGCAGAGCCAGAAATAACCCCTGTGCATCGCTGGTTGTCACCCAAAAAGCCAAACAAAAAAGTGTTACATACCAGCAAAACATTTCCTCTAAGAAGTTAATTCCAAAACCTAGTGACTTCCTTCTCTTTTTTGGTTACTTAGTATTAATTACCCTGAGTTTCTTACTCTGTTATACTACATTTCCTCCTCCACTCTGCCTTCTTATCTGTCTGTCTTTTTTGGTTGGTTTACTCTCTTTTCTTCTAGAAGTGAATTTAAGAGCAGATGTCAGTGGTCAGCGCCGAGTTCCTGACCATCCTGTGCTTAGCGCTTGCATTTGCACCTGAGTCTGTCCGCACTCCGTTCCTGCAGGTGTCCTCCAAGTCGTGAAGCAGTGCGTCCAGATCCCCGTCTTCGTGATGATCCGGCCACGGGGAGGTGATTTTTTATATTCGGACCGTGAAGTTGAGGTGATGAAGGCTGACATTCATCTCGCCAAGCTCTACGGTGCTGATGGTTTGGTATTCGGGGCGCTGACTGAAGACGGGAGCATCGACAAAGAGTTGTGCATGTCCCTCCTGGGTAAGAACTAGTGCCGGGAGTAAAAAAGGCTCTGGTCATGACTGCACCTTATTTAAAAATTTTTTAAAATTTAATTAAAGAATTGTGATTTACAAAGTTATTGGTAGTTTTAGGCGTACAGCGTTTCAACACCAGTCCCTCCACCAGTGTCCACTTCCCTCCCCCCGGTGTTCCCGTGCTCCCTACCCAGCACCCCCGCCTGCCACCTTGATAGGCGCATTTCAGAGTTCTGTGGTTGCAGCTTAGATCTCTTGTTTTCAGTGTTGTTGAGCTTGTGTGTTGGATATATTGCTAGCCCAGTCTCCCACGTTCACGATTGCACTCTAGAGGGGAAAATGGGATCCCAAGTCTGACTTCCTTCACACTTGCAGCCCTTAGACTAAGCCAGTAGTAGCACTGCACTGTACTGTCCTCCCGTTGTTCATCGATTTGCTCGAGTGGGCACCAGTTACGGCTCACAACAAATTGTGACACTTGTTGTTATTGTTTTTGGCGTATCGAATACGTCACGGGGAGCTTGCCAGGCTTTGCCATGCAGGCGAGATACTCTCGGTATCTTGCCGGGCTCTCCGAGAGGGGTGGAAGAATCGAACCTGGGTCTGCTGCATGCAAGGCAAATGCCCTACCTGCTGCGCTGTCACTCCAGCCCACTAAGCCAGTAGTCACTCCAGCCCACTAAGCCAGTAGTTTGTTTATTTATTTATTTGCTTTTTGGGTCACACCTGGCGATGCATAGGGGTTACTCCTGGCTCATGCACTCAGGAATTATTCCTGGCAGTGCTCGGGGGACCATATGGGAATGCTGGAAATCGAACCCCCATTTCAGCCGTAGTGTGGTTGCCCCCTGTGCCAGTTGTTTAATATGGTCGTCCATTCAGGTGTCTGGGACAGTGGGTGTCTCAAACAGCCTGCCTAACTCTCTGGTTGCTCTAGGTCACGTTCTGCAGCTACTGTTGCTGTGGTTTTAAGACAACTTTCACTGCAGCAAAAAAGTGCAGTTGATGAGATTGGGGAGGGAAGGAGGGGATAGTGTTAAGCCTAGAACTATGGGTTCCGAAGTGGCAAGATGGACTGAGACACTAACTTGAAAATGCTAAAGCAGTAGGAGTGGTCTCTTGATAGTGAGCCCGACTCCAAGTGACAAGTAGTTTATATAGGCAGTGCATGCCTTATTGTTTCAGAAAAATCTTACTTAGGTACCAAACATTGGTGCTTTGGCAAGTGTCTAGGGTATCAGTGGTCAGGCAGTAGTTAAACAATAATTTCCAGTAACAGTTTATGGTTACATAAGCTACTAATTCTTTTAGGGTTAACAAAGGACAATTCCTGGGGCATTGTGACTGGTTGATTGAGCCCACTTGCTGAGCCCAGGAACTTTCCCAGGTGGGTTCAGGTTGGCTAGTTACACATTGTTTCATTGCTGGGAAACTGAATTTGTTTCAGTTCCAATTTTTCTCATTTCTGCAGCCTGTCATGGCGCCAGTTTCACCCTCACAACAGAAGCAACCTGCTTATGTTACTCAGTTGAAGTATTTCTTTGAAATTCTCAGGGGAATGAGTAATAGAGGGGATATTACCCTTTTTTAAAAATTTTTTTGGGTTTTTTTTTTTTTTTGCTTTTTGGGTCACACCAGCAATGCTCAGGGGTTACTCCTGGTTTTGCACTCAGGAATTACTCCTGGCAGTGCTTGGGGGACCATATGGGATACCAGGGATCGAACCCGGGTCAGCTGTGTTTGTCAGAGGCAAACACTCTACCCGCTGTGCTATCGCTCCGGCTTCCTACCCTTTTTTTTTTTTTTAATGTAGGAGTACTGCTATTTATTCAGCCATTGATTAAGCTAGGGGATGCTATCCTTATGGGTGCATCATATACAATTTACATGGTAGTTCTCAGGAGTCAACCTTTTTAAAAAATATTAAAATTAGACATTAGTAGCAATATAAAGCTTTTGGATTTGTAAGGCATTATCGTTTGGGTATTTTAGTTCACTGTGTTTATGCTTTAGGAGAATTAAATATAAAAAGCCACACCTACCAAGAAAAACTCTATTGGTAGTAATCACTGGTGATCTCTTCATTCACATTGTTATATGACTTTCTTTTTATAGCCATTTGCCGTCCTCTGCCAGTCACTTTCCACAGAGGTGAGTCATTCCCATCTTTGGAATTTTGCGGAATGGTCGTGGGTTTCTAATCTCCCCAGATGCCACAACCTTTATGAAAATTGATTCTATTGTCTAGTATACGATTGCTCGTTGGACGGATCTTGAGATGCACGATTTCTAGAAAATTTGAAGCTTCCTTAAGAAAAGTGTAAAAAGTAGACATTTGTGGGTCTGGATGGGTACCACAGTGGGTAAGAGGCCTGCCTTGCTGTGGTGGACCCAGGTTTGATCTGCAGCATCCCCTGCGGTCCCCCGAGTCTGGCAGGAGTGATTGATCCCTGAGCAGCGCTGAGGGCCTAAAGCCCCCCTAAATAAAATACAAGTTAAAAACAGTAGCCTTTGTGCCCTGGAGAGAGAGCTCAGAGGCTGGAGGGTGTGCTCTTTGATCTTCCCCTGGTCACTGCTGGGAGTGACGCCTAAGTTTGCAGTCAGGAGTGGCCTTCTAGCACTGCTAGGGGTGGCCTGTAACCAACAGAAAAAAGAAAATGGAGACACTGTTGGTGATACACAGAGAGGGAAAGGTAAACCTGCCTCGGAATACTTACACTTGCCACAGCATTCCAGGGAAGAATCCTGAGGTTCATTGCTATTAGATTGCTATAACTCATATGGATTCTCCCCTAAAATGAACTGTTGTGCCTGCCAAAATGCACTGCACAGCCTGTAACTCATACAAGATCACTAAGGCTAGGAGCGAGATTAGCTTTCCCAGTTGAATACAGGGTTCATAGCTAAGCGGAGCTGTGTTGCTGAAGAAGAACTGAACACGATTTAGAAGGGTGAACGAGACCAGAAAGATAGGACAGTGGGTAAGGCCCTTGCCTGGCACGCAGCTGATCCAGGTTTGATCCGGCACCACAGATGGTCCCCCAAGCTTCACTGGAAGTGATCCCTGAGGGCAGGGTTGAGAGTAAGCCCTGGGGCTCAGGGGGAAAAATGAATAAAAAGAGAGGAAGAAGTAGATGTTGGGTAATCAATGAATGGATGTTCACCGGAGTGCACAAGATTGGTTTTCATTACTGATAGCTTGTTTGCATCAGGGTGATTTCTGAAGGGAATCCAGTAATTTTGTATAAAACATACTAACCAGCTATAAATCAGACAGTTGGAATTCTCAAGTGCTTTTGCCCAGCATCAGTAAAATGAGGGATCAGTGTCAATTTTGCTCTCAGGAGACAGGGCTCTTGTGGATGAAAAGATGTTCTTAGCCTTTTTGCAGTTTCACGTGCTGAAGCAGTTGAGAATGATTTTTTTTCTTGGCGTACATTCCAAAGATTAGAGTACGAGAGTTCTAGTTTTGTGTCCATGTGTAACTCCAGCCAACTTGATTTATTTCAGCCTTTGACATGGTTCACGATCCAGTGGCAGCTTTAGAGACCCTCTTAACCCTGGGGTTTGAACGTGTGTTGACCAGTGGATGTGACAGCTCAGCACTGGAGGGGCTCCCCCTAATCAAGCGACTCATTGATCAGGTACCGTCCTCTCCTTTCTTCCTTCACTGTCGTGATCACTCGTGATAGTCTGCTGTTAGCAGTCGTGAAACCAAGCAGTATTGACTCTGCGTGTCTGTAGGAAAAAGCAAACAGGCCATAATGCAGTTCTGTAATTCTCACTTCTTTCTCATGAGTGGCTTTTAGTAACCAAGACTTTTTTAAGTATCGTAGACCATTGGTTTGTGGACTGATGCCTGTCTGCATGTTGAAATCATCGTTATTAAACAGTGCCGAAGGTTTGGATCTAATTTGAATAACTATCACAAATTCTACCTATCTTTTGTTTTTTGTTTTGGGGGCCATACTCAGCTTTGCTCAGGACCTACTCTAGATTCTATATCAGGGATCACCCTTGGTGGTCTCGGGAGCATATATGGTGCCTGGGATCAAATCCGAGCTGACTGCGTGTAAGGCAAGTGTGCTACCCACTGTATTCTCTCTCCAGCCCCCCAAATTTTACCTTTTCTCTGCCAATTATCACTGAGTAATTTTAAGTCACATCTTCTTACTGTCATCCTATGTATACTTGGGAGGAAATCCCATGTAAAAATTAAGATGAAAGTTTATCATTTGAATAAAAGTGGATTCTAAAACTTAAAACTAACCTTTCATCTCTTCCTATCTGTCAAGATAAGAAATATCTTTAGTTTTATTTTGGGGAACCTCAACCTTTGGCAGTGCTCAGTGAGTACTTCCTTCTTGGTGCTTGGGGTCTCAGGGAACCATGTACAGCTGGGGATTGAGCCCAGAGTTCCCATATGCAAAAAAAAAACACAAAAATGTGTTTCAGTCTTTTGAGCCCTCTCCCTAGCTCAAGAAGAAATCTCTTTCTTTGGGTCAGAGAGGTAGTACAGCAAGGAGGGTGCTTACCTTGCATGCAGCCATCCTGGATTCAATCCCTAGTACCCTGAGCCGGCCAAGAGTGATCCCTGAGCATATAGCCGGGAGTATGCCCTGAGCACAGCTGAATACGGCTCAAAAACATTGTATATTCATGTGTGTACACACACACACACACACACACACACACACACACATATATATTTATCTTTTGTGTGATGTTTTAGCATGTGAACACCAGTCCAGAGGTATTTGAAGTTAGAAAGTGCAAATTTGGGGATAATAGACAGAGTTCTGAATTTGAGACTCAGGTTTGATGCATATGTGTAACGTTGAGCAGATTACTAACATTTGTCACCCCAAGTGTGACACTCAGATAAATTTAAATTGTTCTTTGGATAGTAGGAGACTTGAAAAAGCCTTAGCACAGTGCTTGGCATATAATAGATCTTAATAGCAATATTGATATTGTTAAGTAGCACTGCATTGTAGCACTGTCCTCCCATTGTTCATTGATTTGCTTGAACGTGCACCAGTAACATCTCCACTGTGAGACTTGTTACTGTTTTTGGCATATCGAATACGTCATGGGTAGCTTGCCGGGCTCTCCGAGAGGGATGGAGGAATTGAACCCAGGTCGGCCACGTGCAAGGCAAATGCCCTACCTGCTGTGCTGTTGCTCCAGCCCATTGTTAAGTATTACTATTAATACTATTAAGTATTAATATTGGTCTTTATGGTTATTGTTACTGCTATTATCAGTAGTAATTAGTGTTTCTGTGTAAGTATCTGTGTTTATTCACTTATAGCAGTGAAAAAAAATTTCAGATATTTTACCTCAGCAGCTGATGTAATCTTGCAAATATTTATTGAATACATATTAGGCAAAGGATATTCATACTATTTGGTGGTTAGGAGATGTGTGTGTGCGTGTATGTGTGTAGCTACTAATTTAATTTTACAACAGGCACATAAAAGAGCAGGAAATTAAGCAGCTGTTATTTAAAAATAAAGTTGGGTGTGTACGAAGGGAATTAATCCCAGATTTGATGGATGGGCTTAGCAGTAACCTTCCCAGAAGACGAGACGTCCACACTGTAATGTCTTATTTAAAGGATGGTTTGGAATCCTCCACGTCAGAGGACTGGGGGAGAGCGGAGGGTGTTCCTGCAGGAAGATCTGGAAATGAAAGGGGATGGAATGAGATTCGAAAGAATGACCCAGGGGTTGTTTGTGGAGAAAGGTCTCGTCTTCACAGTCTCAGAAACTTTTTAGAGTCTTGTTCTTGTGTGGGAGAAGCTGAATGGTTTTAAAATAGAAGAGTCCATGAATCAGGTTTCTATTTTAAAACAGTTGCTCACTGGGGAGACTGCAGTTGATGAGATTGTCATGGTGGTGTATTAAAATACCTGTGTACATGTGATTTGTAGTTCAGCCACTAACAGTGTTTTAAACAAACAGTTACTGTATGTAGGTTTATAACAGGTTATGATAGACATCTATAACGAAATGGTGAGTTACACTCACATCCTTCTCGCCTAGTTTATCTCTGTGTCTGTGTATGTGCTGAGGGCGCCTGAAATCTACTCTCCGCGAATTTTCAGTATTTAATGCAACTTATTATCTGTAGCCCCCATCCCCCACTTCCCTCTGCTTACCTGTCTCTAGTAATGACTGTTGTCCTCTCTGCTGTGTATTTGACTCTTTAGATTCTGCATGTAAGTTAGACTCATGCTCACTTGACTTCTTGAAGTAATAACCTAACTATTATTTTACTACTTAAAGAAAAAGACTTTGGGATTAAAAAGATCTGTTTTGAAATCCTGACTTTACCATGTAATGACAGTGACCTCAGGTAAATTCTCTACTGATCCAGTTTCCACTTGACTCCTCAGCCGTGTTGTCCTCCTGGAATAGTTGTGGTTTCCTTCAGAGGAGAGCACAATCCCGGGACTGGAAGTAGTTCTGTGGCTGACGTGCCCGGGGTTGGAGGTGGCTCCAAGACGGACGTGCTTGGGGCTGGAGGTGGCACCAAGGCTGATGTGCCCACCCCGTGCAGGTGCGGCTGCAGATGGGCTCGCAGTGCTGCCCAGGTGTGCTGACATTGATCCTGATAGCGCTGCTGTCCCTTAGACTCTGTACACTTGACTGAAGGAGACAGAAAGCAAAGTCTTCAAATGCAGACCTGGAAAAATACTGTACGTTCTCGTCATGGAAGAGAAAAAGAAAATAATTGATGTGACCTTTCCCCCAACATGATTTATGATTTCAGCTTTCTAAACAGTGAATGTTTTGATTTATGAATACTTTGCATTAGAATGTTTGAGGATACCAAACAGACTTGTTTTGCTGATTTTTCTACAAGTATTAAATCCTTTGTAGTAACTACCCTCTTTTTTACCCCCTCTATTGGAGGGGGAGGGTCACATCTGGCAATGCGCAGGGGTTACTCCTGGCTCTGCACTCAGGAGTTACTCCTGGTGGTGCTCAGGTGACCATATGGGATGCTGGGAATCAAACCGGGGTCAGTCAAGGTGAACTCCCTCCCTGCCGTACTAGCACTCTGGCCCTTCTCTTCCCTTATTCCCTGTTTCATCCCTATGTGGAGAGGAAAACTATCCATCCTCTTAGTTTTAGTATTGGAGGCCAGGAAACTAAATTGACAAAAGACAAGCTAGCAAGAAAAAGATTTTGTCACTATTATTTTTTTCTTTTCTTTTCTTTCTTTCTTTCTTTCTTTCTTTCTTTTTTTATTTTTATGAAACTGCACCTGGGCCTCATGTATGTAAAGCATGTGTTTTACCACGTAGCCACATCCCCACAGATTTTAAGTGTATGTGTGCGTATGTGTATTATACAGATATTTACAAAGAAATACGACTTGAAGAGGTGCCTAAAATTTGGAACTTATAAACCTCCTTAATAGGTGAAGAGGAAGCTGGAGTGAAAGGGCATTTCTGGGGCCATAGCTGACCTTTTAGCAAGACATAGGACCCTTGGGAGAGTCGATGGCTTTGAGTGTGGTGCTGGAGTTACGCCCCAGTTTAGTTGTTGACTCTGGATCTTGGAGTGGCACAGAGTTAACTTTCTACCACAACATTTCCCATACCTGGAGCATGGCAGCACTCAATAAATATGTATTGAATGGACTGACGAGTGAGTAAAGTCACTTTTGGTAAGTGCTTTCATGATGGATGGATTTGATCAGATTCAGGAATTCTTTAGAAGAGCTTTCTTGGAAAGGTCTGTAAAATGGCAGTGTACAGATGTCATAATGCACATGCGTGCATGCTTGCGTCTGAATCTTGTCGGGAGTTGTATGTCAGCTTGGAAACCCCCTTTCCAAAATGACATAAAAACTCAGCTGTTGGGGCAGGAGCAATAGCACACTGGGTAGGGCGTTTGCCTTGCATGCAGCTGACCTAGGTTCAATTCCCAGCATCCCATATGGTCCCCTGAGCACCACCAGGAGTAATTCCTGAGTGCATGAACCAGGAGTAACTCCTGTGCATCGCCGGGTGTGAGGCAAAAAGCAAAAAAAAAAAAAAAAAAAAAAACTCAGCTGTTGTGAAAGGTCAGGTGTTCTTTTGGTGACATTTTGGGGCTTGTGGTGCCTTCTTCCCGCTGTAGTTTGAGCTGTGCTGGCTTGCATGTGTGTGAGGTGATGGTGATGCTCACTGGAGGTGCTCGCCTGACAACAGTCTCAGAGGGTCATCTTTGGGGCCTGCTGGGGGATGGACATTTTTCAGAGGCTCTGCTTGTGCACATGCTCTCTGGGGGCAAACACCTAGCCGAGGTGCTTGTATACTCTGTCGAGTTGTGTGTGCTCACGTTTGGCTGTGGTGTGCCAGACATCACAAAGGGCCCGGAGAGCAGAGCCGCTGGGATTGTGGTCGGCGCATACAGGCAGCACCCGTGATCCAGCTGGTGGCCTCATCCTTGCCAGGCAGGCGCTTTTGCCACTTTTCTACTGGCCTGGGTCCTGCTAAAGCCACTTTGGATCATTTTACTGTTACTGAAGTTCTAGTCTGGAATTCTAATTTGGCTCAATCCAGAGCACAGTTTGTTACTGACTGCTAGCGTAAGTTTTCATTCCTTATATTAATAGCTGCAACTAAATCAGTAATATAGCACTTCATTATTTGTTTTATTTTGCTTTGGGGCCATAACCAGAGTGCTTAGGACTCACTCCTGGCTCTGCATTCAGAGATCACTCCTGGCAGGGCTGGGAGACCATATGGAATGTGGAGATTCAACCCAGGTCTGCCGTGTGCAAGGCAGACGCTCTGCCTGCTGTTACTATCTCTCCAGCCCCATTGTTATTTTTTCCTGTGAACATTGAAAGTCATTTAGGAGTCTTGGTTTCCCTCTTTGCGTCAGCAAATAATTTTATGCCCTCATTCTCATTTAAATAGACAAAGTGGAATCTTTTTTTATAACATGACTTGTACGGCACATCTAGTTCTCCAGGGCTGCCTTAGACTTTGTCGCTCTTCCTGAGACACTCGGCGAACAATCATGCCGACTGCTCACTTTCCCTGCACCCGTCCTTAATCAGAACTCGGCAGAGGCAGTGTGGTCTTGCCCTTAAAGAGAGGAGGAAGTGTCCTCTCTGCTCATGCCCATCTCTAGTCACCTTCCCTTTTCCTGGCCGTTGTGCTCTCCTCACTTTTGACACTTGGTACTTCTCTTGTTTGCACTGGGTGTTTCTGGTGAGGGCCCATTTTTGCTTCACCCTCATGACCTCGCGTTCTCTGCGCTCTCTGGATGTCCTCTTCCATCTTCACTTGTCCGGGCCTCTTCTGGCCTTGGACACAATGCTTTCATACTCTTGTCCCCCACACTAAGCCAGATTTTCTGTTTTCTCTTTTTTTTTTCTCAACTGGATTACGTTTTTTTTTTTTCACTATGTTTTTTAAATAGGTTGTTTCCTTTATTTCCTTTATGGATAAAGAACCAAGCTACGGTTTAATTCTTGATCTGATTTTTTGTTTGTGTAATAGCTCCTGATGTAAGACTGTGTAATCAGTCCTGAACGCATAAGTAAACTGAACAGTGGAGGCAGATTGTCGGCTTTATCATCCAGGGCCAGGGAAATGTCTCAGACAGCTGGACTGCTTTGTGTGCCAGAGACCTGGGTCCAGTGGCCCAGTGCTGCACAGTCCCTGGGTGGCCCAAGAGTGTCCTCTGAGCACACGCTCAGGTGGAAGTTTGTATTAAATGATCTTGCTCTGCAGATTAGTGAACTTGATAGAGGATGTAATTTGTATTCTGTCCTTACCTATCTGCTAGCAGTAGTTCGATCATATATAATGGGTTGATTTTCTTTTCAATGATATTAAGTCTATTACCAAAACTTAGGAAATGTGATGAAATATGAGTGAAAGTAAGAAAAGGGGTAGAAGAGTGGGTAAGGTTGACTGCCTTATTAACGGTCAACTTAGGTTCAGTCCCTTGTACCCCATATGATTCCTGAGCCCCGCCAGGAGTGATCCTTGAGCATAGAGCCAGGAGTAAGTTTTGAGCACTGCCAAGAGTGTCCCAAAGACAAAATAAAAGGAAAAAAAAGTAAAAAGAAACAACTGTCTCCCAGAACTAGATGCAATTTAATCAATTCATGTATAGTTCCGTATTCTTGCTACCTAGTTAAATGCTTGTGGGGGTGTTTAATTGGGGTAATAAGCTAGAGAGGTTAGTTGAGGAAGAAAGATTTGGGTGGTTTTTTTCCTTCCCTCAAATTTTTAGTTGTGCTGAACACTTACGTTCAAGTACTACCATCCTGTTGCTGGCCAAGAACGTGGAACTGATTTTTTTCCCCAGTGATGTTTATTTTTTCCCTGATGTGGTCCACTGATTCATTGTGTTCTTAAAGGCATGTCATGAGTGCTAGATAATAAACCTTTCAGGATAGGGAGATTTACTCTGCTGAACAGCTTCTTTTTTCCCTCCTTGGGGCTTTCCTAGCGGTGCTGGGGAGGCCAGCGCAGGGAGCTGTTCCCTGTTTTCTGTGATGCTGGAGAGTCCTGTGCTCAGGCCAAGTGGTGCTGTGCGGGGGGTCATCCTTATACTGCATATTGTTATGGACAACTGCAGGGGCCACCAGGGCCAAGCTGGTGGTGCTCAGAGGGCCGTGTGTTATTGGAGACCTAACACAGGACTGTAGGCAGGCCGGGCATGTGCCTCCGCCCCTGTGGGCTGTCTCCCCGCCCCCAAGTTGGAGAAGCTGTATTGAAAATTCAGTACTGGTAGTAATTAAAAAAAAATTAATATGTTTATGTTTCTGTTTTCACTGCCTGTTATCCCATTTAAGACAAATACATTAAAATTTACTTGTTTATTATTTTCTTTTTTCAGGCAAAAGGCAGAATTGTGGTAATGCCAGGTATTTATTTATTTATCCATTCACCTGTTTGTTTAAAACAGCAAATGCTTGTTTCTCACAATTGTGGGGGCTGGAAGTCGGGGGCACAGTGCTGGCAGATGGGAAGTGTCCTCACAAGGCAGAGATAGTGGCCCTCTCTCGAATGCACTCACAAGGGTGACACTGAACTGGAGTGAGATAGGGCAAGGGAGGCCAGACTCTATGGAAGCAGAATGAGGATATGGTGTTCAGAGGAACCGTAGAGGTGACTGCAGTGTTTAAGGCTGGGAGACCAGCTGGAAGTTAAAACAGTAGCTAGGAGAGCCTGCTGGCCGGAATCAGCGTACATAAAGACGTAGATTGGGATTGGGATTTGTGTGTGCTTGACCAAAATTTTGTGAGCATGGATGTTTGGGGAGACGCCCCAGCTGGAAAAGGCGTAATGCCTTAGTTGTTAACCAACAGCGAGCATGCGTTCTGGTGATAAATGTGCAGTGCTCTCTTAGAGCTGAAAATCTCCCACCACTAAATTCTTCTTGGTGGCCAGAACAGTTTGATCATGTGCTCCTCCTGATAGCTATAAAGGTGTTTGTATGTAAGAGCACATTAAAATGGAAGCGTTTGTAAAGAATCAGACAAAGAGACAGAATCAGACTAAGGTAATATCGTCTTAGTTTTTCTTCTTACCAAATACAGTACACACACACACACACACACACACACACACACACACACACACACAGCAGTATGGGCAGAGAGAAAGAGTGCAGTGAAATTGAATGCATGCTTTACATGCGGAGGCCTAGGTTCTGTCCCACACGGCCATGGTCCCCCCAGCTCCACTGGCTGGGACATCCCCCACCCCCACCAGCACAGAGCCAGGAATGGCTCCTAAACACTGCTGGGAGTGACTGTATATGTGTATTTAATAAATAGTATAATGAGTATATGCTCATTCCAGAGGTAAACTATTTTCCCATAATTATCTCTCCTTTTTTTTTTAATCTTGTGGTATTTTTTAATTAATTAATTTTTTAAATCTTGGGGTATTTTAAAGTTAAACTAAAGGCAGCATACATTTTATTTAGTGCATCTTTTTAAAGTCTTTTTTACTTATTTATTTTGACTTTGTGGATCACACCCAGTGATGCTTAGGGGTTACTCCTGCCTCTGCACTCAGGGATCACTCCTGGCAGTGCTCAGGGACCATGTGGGATGCCGGGGATCAAACTTGGATTGGCATCACGCAAGGCAAACACTCTCCCTGCTGTACTATTGCTCTCGCCCATAATGTATCTTTTTAATTGATTTGTATTTTTCATTTTTACTTTTGGGCCACACCCAGCAGTGCTCAGAGCTTGCTTCTGGCTCTGCTCATGGTTCACTCTTGGTTGGGCTTGGGGGATGGTGTGGCTTACTGGGGATTGAACCCGGGTCAGCTACATGGAAGGCAAGAGCTTGCTGTACTACCTCTTTGGCCACTTGGTGCATCTTTTTAAAAAACAAGGACATTAAGGGGCCAGGGATGTGACTTAGTGGTAGAGCACTAGGTGCCCTGTATGTATGAAACACTGGGTTTGAGCTCTGCTATCACTATTTTTTAAAGTATGAGGGATATTACAACCACAATACCGTTGTTATATCTGTGAGAATTAATGTTGATTCCTGAGCACCATTTCATAGAAAGTCAGTGTTCTCTTTTCTTTGGTTGGTTGTAGAAAGTTTCCTTTATTTATTTAATTTTCAAAAAAATGTTGGCCACACCTGGCAGTGCTCAGGGCTTACTCCTGGCTCTGTGCTCAGGGATCACTCCTGGAGGGAGCCAGGGGACCATTTGTGGTGCTTGAGATCAAACTCAGGTTGGCCACATGTGAGACAAGCGCCCTACCCACTGTACTACCGCTCTGGCCTTCTGCAGAGTATTTCTTATAACAGTAAGATGCAACCAGAATCCAATCAAGGACAAGTATAGTGTGCTTAGTTCTCTCCCTTCCTTCCTTTCTCTCGTTTCTCTTTTGGTTTTTGTGCTCAGACACTGCTCCCCATTGGTGCTCAGAGGCCCACATAGGCCATGTCAGAGGCCTTGGGGCCACCCTGACCCTCTTACATTTCTTTTCATTTATTTTATTGTGCTGGGGATGGAGCCAAGGACCTCACCTATGCAAGATATATGAGCTTGAGCCACATTCTTGACCCTGGTTCTTATTATCTCTTAGTATAGAAGTTTTCCTGTTTCTTGCTCTTCATAAAAATGATGCTTTAGGGACTGGAGCAATTGTACAGTGGGTAGGGTCAGCTTGCCTTGCATGTGACTGATCTGGGTTTGATTCCTGGCACCCCATATGGTCCCCTGAGCTCCACCAGGAGTAATTCCTGAGTGCAGAGCCAGAAGTAATCCCTGAACATCACTGGGCCCCAAAACAAACAAAAATGATACTTTAAAAGTATGAGGAACTTAGCCTTATAAAATATTCTACTGTCTGAATTTTTCAAATGGTTTCCTCTTGATATTGTTTTAGCTTGTTTCTAATCTCTGTATTCCTAACATTCCCCAAACTTCCTTATCTATTCCCTCTTTTCAGGAAAGAAAAAAAAAAAAAAGACATGCCGTGCAGTTGCACCCAAGGCTGTTTCTAGTCCCTACCACCCAACAGCTCCCCCCAACCCCCCACCCCCCACCACATATTCAGTGTGTACCCTGGGTTAGATCATGAAACTTGATTTAAATCCTGCCTAAACATTTTTGCTAAAAGTGCTTCTTGGGTGATTCTCTGAGGTTCATACTACATTTCATTAAAGGTCATGCAGTGCTTGGTTCTTTTAAGTCTAGTGCTGCCTGGAATTATGAGGCTTTAGGACAGTGATAGCCAGCACAAAGGCCAACTTTGGAAACAGATAGAGGAGTAGGTCAGGAAATTAAGAAAGTTTCGCACTGTGGCAAGTCCCTGATACATGAGCAGATAGATGGAAAGCATATATTAGGTATCACGGTGAAACTGTTTATAAGCAAGTCAGGGAAAGAGACTCACTGAATCTGGTGCATTTTCATTTAAAACTAGCACTTTTTTTTTTTTAATGGAATCACAGTGAGATACACAGTTACAAGGCTGTTCATAATCAGGTTTTAGTCATATGGTGTTCAGACACCCATTCTTCACCAGTGTACGTTGCCACCACCAATGTCCCTAGTTTCTTTTCCTCCTTCTCCACCCCCCACCACCACCCCAGCCTGTCTGTGGCAGGCACTTTCTTTCTTTCTCTCTCTCTCTCTCCCCTTTTAGACATTATGGTTTGTAATACAGACACTGATAGGTTACCTTGTTTGTTCCTTTACCTACTCTCACACACAGTTCTTATGCAGAGTGATTATTTCCAACTATCTTTGTCATAGTGGCCCTTCTCTATCCCAGCTATCTTCTCCTCCAGCACTTGAAGCAGACTTCCAGCCTTGGACCAATTCTCCTTGCCCTTGTTTCCGCTGTCCTGGGTATTAGTCTCATATTATATTTTTTTACATCCCACAAATGAGTGCAGTCATTCTATTTGTCTTGATACTAAATGCTCAGACTTAACAGTTGTTAATATTAAGATCTTCATTGCTTAATGTGTAATTTTATTTTATATTTTGGGGGGTTTTTGGGGCCACACTTAGCAGTGCTCGGGATTTACTCTTGGCTCTGTGCTCAGGGATCAATTCTGGTAGGCTTGGGCAGGGGGGCATATGGTGTGCCCGGGATTGAACCCAGATCAGCTGTGTGGAAGATCTTACTCTCTGTCCATTAATATGTAGTTATTAAGTCATTGACTATTTGTAAGACTTTCCTTTGGACACAGTTACATAACAGACTACTTCCTCAGGAGAGCACAGGGACAGTATGCACAGAAATATTCATGATTAACAAACCTGCCCACATATATGTAGATTATATGCCATCTGTAGTAGATGTACAAATGCAGAAGTGTCTATGAACTAATCTACTTGAGGGGCTCTTAGAATAGATATACACACACACATTAGTACAATTCTATGTACGTAAATATGAGCAAATAAAAATTCAATCTGATTGCCTAGATATGATAGAACACATCCGTTTTCTCTAGGGACTCTTATAATGGTGCTTAAAATAGACATTTTCTCAATATAACAGAAATATATAAGCCTTGTTCTTTTTTGGTCCTTAGCTGTGTATGTGTTAGCATATGGAAATTGCTAAATTGCATAGGGCTGGAGCGATAGCACAGCGGTAGGGCGTTTGCCTTGCACGCAGCCAACATGGCCGACCCGAGTTCGATTCCTCCGCCCCTCTCGGAGAGCCTGGCAAGCTACCGAGAGTATCTCGCTTGCACGGCAGAGCCTGGCAAGCTCCCCGTGACGTATTCGATATGCCAGACACAGTAACAACAAGTCTCACGATGGAGACGTTACTGGGCCCGCTCGAGCAAATCGATGATCAACGGGAGGGCCTTTACTTTACGGCCTTTACTAATGTTGCTGATAACTGAGCAGCATATGTTTTAGTGTCCAATAATTTCCGTGTTAGAAGGAAATAAAACATTTGTCTTTAAATCCTTCCAACAAGCTTGTGAGGTTGGCAGCATAATCCCACTTACTGATTAATGAGTGTGGTTCGGGCTATAGTAATGCATAGCCAAGAATACATAGCGTTGAAGAGCTACAGTTCTATGGTCAGAATTCTGGTCTAAATTCCACTTCTCCATCTACAGTCTCTCTGCGCAGGGCTTAGTGATATTACTGTACCATGGAGGAAAAATAAAGTTCCTGAGTTCAAAAGAGTTCGTAAAGTCAAGATTCATAAACTTGAATAACATGAGACACAAAGTGCATATCTTAGAAGTCATTAAAAAGTATCTGTTGCATGTGTCCTATGTAGTAGGAGTTAAGGATATAAAAGATGGTTAATTGATTATTTTCAGTCTGCTATCGGTTCAGACTATGATTCTTTATGTACACATAATGAAGAGATTATCAAAACCAGTGAGTCATCATAATGAACTGGGTTGTAGGGCCAGGTTCAAAGAATTGGAGTACTTCCTGTGTATGGGGGAGTCGCAGATTTAATTCCTGGTACCTCATGACTGACTCCCCCCCAGCCCCCAAAACTTCAGGGAGTGAACATCATGTTTGTTAGCCTCATGCCTGACCCCAGAGCATCAGGTATGCCTCCCTCCAATAAAAAATAAATAAATAAATAAAAGAACTTGATTCCAGTTTTCATAGACTCAGAGTCTTTGGCTAAGTGAAACGAAACATGGATGTTCCTGAGTTAAGGCGCCATTCTGGTCCCCATCACCAGTGAGCTCCTTGGTTCCTGAGGAGACAGGGCTGAGGGAGATCCTGTCAGACACATCTCAAGCCTGTGCTTTTTGTAGCTTTCTTCTCCAGCCTCACCTTAGATGGCATTTGCCTTAATTGGTGGGGGAGCAGTGATACAGTGCTCAGCGATTCTCTGGCCTTTGAGTCATCTTTTCAGATTTAAAGTCAGTCACATGTAGTGTGGTTCTATAAACTAAAGGGCATAGAGATTTCCCCGTGGAGGCTCTGTGAACTATGCAGTGTTCTTTCTCCAGAGTCGTGTTCTAATCTCATTCCAGGGGAGGGAGTCATTCTTTATTTATTATTTTATTTTTTAATGAATCACGGTGAGGTATACTTACAAACTTTCCAACTTTCATGATTATGTTTCAGTCATACAATGATCGGGTCCCCATCCCTCCACCAGTGCCCATTCTCCACCACCAATGTTCCGAGTATCCCTCCCACCACCTCCACTCCATTCCGCCTCCATCTTTCCCCCACCCACCTCTGTGGCAGGCACATTCTGAAGGAGTCATTCTTAAGTCAATAAGAAATCTTACTGTGGGGATTCCAGGTAGAACAGGAAGTTACCCATTGAATTTTGTACAAAATTTTGGCAACACCAGGTAGAGCAAGCAGTTATTCATTAAATTTTGTATACATTTTGTATAAGTCCTATCTCCTAAATAATTCACTTGTTGTTTCCAACAGGGGGTGGCATAACAGATCGGAATCTACAAAGAATCCTTGAGGGTTCGGGTGCTACAGAATTCCACTGTTCTGCTCGGTCTGCCAGAGACTCAGGGATGAAGTTTCGGTAAGTCTGTATTTTGGGGTCCAGTAGAGAAGGGATGGGCTTCCTCTTTCTTCCCCTAATAGGAAAGCTTTAGTTAATGTCACAACTGCTGCTTGTTATGTTGTGATGAGGACACAAATATTTAAGTCCTTTTTTTATAGTTTTTCAGAAGTAAAATATTTTTATTTATTTATTCTGCCTTAAGTAAGCAGATTTTTTTGAATCTTTTTATCCTTAGGTCATTGCAGAGCATAGATAGGTTAATACTGAGGTATGCTTCAAAAGACCCGTGTGTGTGCCATTTCCCTTCTGCTTTTCCTTTAGCAAAATGAGTAACTGCAGTGTCATGTTGTTCTTATCTCTCCTATCTTTATTACTTCATTCTTCGATTGTTAATATTTAACATGAATATTAATGCATAACACTTCCCTCACCTTTACTCTGTTCTCAGTTGTTTTGAAATTGTATCACCATTGAGAATTTCTTTTTTTCTTTTTTGGGTCACACCTGGTGATACTCAGGGGTTACTCCTGGCTCATGCACTCAGGAATTACCCCTGGCGGTGCTCAGGGGACCCTATGGGATGCTGGAAATCGAACCCGGGTTGGCCGCGTACAAGGCAAACGCCCTACCCGCTGCGCTATCACTCCAGCCCTCACCATTGAGAGTTTTAAACTATTTTTTTTTTTTGGTGGGGGGGAGTCACACCCAGCTATGCTCAGAGGTTACTCCTGGTTCTGCACTCATGAAATACTCCTGGCGGTTCTGGGGGGACCATATGGGATGCTGGGAATCAAACCCGGGTTGGCCACATGCGAGACAAATGCCCTCCCTGCTGTACTATCACTCTGGCGCCCATGATTATTTCTTTTGTTTTTTTTTTTTGCTTTTTGGGATACACCCAGCGTTGCACAGGGGTTTCTCCTGGCTCATGCACTCAGAAATTACTCCTGCCGCTGCTCAGGGGACCATATGGGATGCTGGGAATAGAACCCAGGTTGGCCACGTGCAAGGAGTTTAAACACCCTACCTGCTGTGCTATTGCTCCAGCCCTGGTTGATTATTTCTAATTTGGGGAAAATGAGATATAAAAGAAGCAAAAACTGAGAATCAAGTATGTTACTTGGTGGGTTTGGTTGCTCAGATTTTCAGTGAGTTAATAAATGGGTTAATAAAATATAGGAAATTGGGGGCTCACCAGGGTCTTTGAACAGACTTTTTACTGAGTAATAAAATACCTTATGAAATGAAGGCCAGAGTGATACTATAGCAGTTAGGGCACTTGCTTTGCATACAGCCAGTCACGCTGGTTCAATCTCTTTATCTCGTGTGATCCCCTAAATACCACAAAACCAAAAATATCTATATATCTTATATAGATATATTTGATATATGTAATAATCAAATATATGGATATATATTTTATTTATAGTCTTATCAAATGAACTGCCTGTTTGAAGGCTCATTGAATAGTTTGTATAATCATTTGTTTCTTTTTTACATCTTGCAGAAATCCCTCTGTCGCCATGGGAGCCTCACTTTTGAACTCAGAGTATACTTTCAAGATCACAGATGTGACCAAAGTAAGAACTTTGAATGCTATTGCACAGAATATTCTGGTTTAGAGAGACGTCTCCGAGACAGCTGTCGCAGGGCGGAGGGAGAAGAGCAGTCTGCAAGGGTTCTGTGACCCTGCTTTCCCCTTCATCTTGGGCCAGGGCAGTCACAGGTTTTGCTTTGCTTCTCGTATGGCCACGGAGAATGTTTCCAAGAAGAGACAGAACTTGAAGCAGAGCTATAATCACTTCCTTTGCCTCATCATCCCAGCTAGATCCACCATCATCATCATGGTTAAATCTGGTGTTTGCTTCTTCTATAGGCTGATTAGTTTGTATCTGATGGAATTAATTGATGAGCTGAAAATACACAACTGCGAGGTTTAAATTCAAAATGTAACTTAGTTTCAAATTTAATAGAAATACTTTGCTTTTTTATTTGAAAAATAAAAATTTCTATTCTATTATGATAGAGTTTCTTTATTTTTACCATGAATGCAGCCTGTAAACCAAATATGATAGGAAGGTTTTGCATTCTTTTTATTTCATTTGAGGGAATCGGGGTGAAGTGGGGGTGGTATTTGGGTCACACCCAGTGGTGCTCAGGGCTAACTCTTGGCCTTGCAATCAGGGATCACTCCTGGTGGTGCTTGGGGGAACTATGTGGGGTACTGGGGGTTGAACCTGGATTGGCTGCATGCAAGGTAAGTGTCCTTCCTGTTGAACTATTTGTCCAGTCCCTCTCACTCGCTTTTAGAGAATAAAACGGACACCCAAAGAGAGCAGAGCCAGTCATTGAGAGGGAAATGGAGCGTAGCCATTGGTGAGATTAGGGAGCAAACCTGAGGACTGTACTGTCTCTGCACTTGTGGTGATCTGAACAATGAGTATTTTTACCAAAAACACTCATTCAAAAAGGTAAGTGCATACATGTGTTATCACAGCACTATGTTCCTTAGTCAAGATCTGGAATCAACACAAGGACCCAGTGACCGAGCCAAGGAGATGCAGGCTGAGCCCAAGCATCACTGCATCTCAGGCTGAGTATCACCAGGATTGCCCCTGGGTCCCTGGACTTTGCAGTAGGCCCTTTCCACTGGGCTGCTCCAGATGGGGACAGGTGCCGACCCTCCACCTGCCCCTTAGGAGCCCTGGCGCCACCATTTTCTAGAGGTTAGTGACAAGCTCCAGGTACGAGTGCCAGTGGCAGCAGACACTAGGCCTCACGGGACAGGGGAGGAGTGGGCCGTCTCCTTCCCCCTGCCCCGATGGGACTTTGAGATGATGCCACATCCGGCCACGGTCTACTTAAGTTCTCACACGGCCATGATTCAGAGACACACAAATGAACCTTGGACCCAAGCACTTGCTGCCACAATCTCTTCAGACCCTAATTATCAAAATTTTAGAATTCCTAGAGTGTGCAGCCCCTCTCGTGTCTGCATGACACTATATTGTATCCATAACAAGCAATACAAAACACATTGTCTAGCATTGCCTTTTTGGCAGGTATGAGTGGTGGTGGGATTGGTCTCGAAATATCAAAGGTAACTAAAGTAGAGAAAGAGTTTTGTGCAAATTGTCTGCCACACAGGCGGGGAGGTATGGAATTCGTGGGTAGGGGGTGGATAATGGGGATTTTGGTGGTGGAAAACATGCACTGGTGAAGAAATGGGTGTTTGATGACTGTATAATCAAAGCTCAAACATGAAAGCTTTGTTACTGAACCTCACGGTGAATCAATAAAAAAAAAAAAAGATGTAACCTTGAGAAGTGGATGGTGGGGGGGTGGTGGTGATGGAATGTGTTATGCAAGAAACCCTATCATTGGCAGTATTGCAAAGCACAGTGCCTAAAATAAATGATATGTTTAAAAAATTGGAGCCTTACTCATGCTACAACATGGGTGAAACCGGAAGGGATCATGTTAATGGAGGGAAGTCCAAAGGAGAAAGATAAATGCCAGGTGATCTTACTCATACAAATATAAAGAAGTAAAACAAGGCAAGAGACAGTGTTCAGTGGAAACGAACCCTTAGACTCTGATGATGGGACTGAGGTTCCCAAACAGAGAAGTAGACTAACAAGAGTCTTGCTAACCTGTGGAGAAGTAGTGGCACTTTGGTGGACCTGGTCTGACAACACTGCGCCCTTAAAATATTTATATTTTGGTAAGCCACTGTTATACCCATAATAAGAATAATACAAGATTTTTTAGAGGATGGGAGATGGCTAATGATGCCTGCCTTGCAAGGGCAAGGCTGTGGGTTTGTTCCCTTGTGCCATCGTATGCTCTGAGCATAACCTGGCAGCTCTGCTCTTCGCACCTAGTGCCACGAGACATTTCCGGCTGAGGTGTGGGAGAGTACCACGAATGCATTCCCCCATAAGGCACCGCCACTGAAAACGATGTGCAGCTCAGCAGACAGCTGTGCAAGAGCCTCTGTGAGCACCAACACAGCCCCCAGAGAGCACCATGTGATCTCACTGATGACAATGGCATCAACAGAAGGAAGACAGGGACGTTGGGTCAAGCTTTTACAAGGTCCTAATAGCATCAGGGAATGAGGCAGTTTCTAGTTCACCCATCGCTAGGAAGATTTCAGAGTAATTTTTTTTTTAAGTAAGACTGAAAATCTTTTGAATCTACCCTGTGTCAGTTGCAAAAGAAATTCTGTTTTTAGAGACACACTACTGGTAAGTCATTGAACTTCACCAAGCTCAAATGCCTGTAAACTAACACTTGAGCTCAGCCAGAGTGGATCAACTACATTAGAGAATACACATTATACCTTGAAATTTCTCAAAAGTTAATCACAGGGTTTGTGTGAAGACAGGGCATTGGTAAGTCATCGTGTCTGGAGATCCACCACCTCATTTCAGAAAGGTCTGCTCACAAGATGCTGAAGAGATTTGACCTTTCATTCCAGGTCAAAGAGGAACAGCTGTCTGTTGTTGTGTGGGAAGCCCTAATTCTGGGTAAAGCACATGCCACTCGATCCTTATTCCTGTGTCCGGCACTGTATTTGCCACTGTATGGATGTAGCCTCTTCAGCAAAAAAAAAAAAAAAATTGAAATTATGTGATTGGAACTGTGAATTTGTTTTCTTTAAATATGGATCTCCTTTGAAAATTCTTACTCGTTGATCCCTCTTTAATATATTCACCAAGTGCTAATAAAAGCTCCTCCTCCAAATTTCTCCAGTATGTGTGAACATGGATAACACAGGGAAATGTAAATTTTGGTGGTTGGCTTAAACTGATTGTCGCTCAAATTTCTTGGGTCGCCATTTAAGCTCATCAACGGCCATGATCGAGGGACTCACAAATAAATCTCAGAAGAGGGCAACACACCACAGAGATGTCACCAGACTACAAAGTCACTGACCAGCTAAAAATTTAGCTATATTACCCTATTTAGAAGTCTTTAGAATTCCTGGAGCTGCTTGTATAAAGTATAATTTAATTTATAAATTAAAGTATAAATTTTTAGCTGGACGGTGACCTTGTGGTCCAGTGACATCCCTATAGCGTGTTGCTCTCTTCCTCCTTTGGAGCTTCTGCAGCTTCTCTACAAAGGGCTGGAGCGATCGCACAGTGGGTAGGGCGTTTGCCTTGCACATGGCCAACCCGGGTTCAATTCCTCTGCCCCTCTCGGAGAGCCTGGCAAGCTACTGAGAGTATCCCGCTCACAAAACAGAGCCTGGCAAGCATCCCGTGGCATGTTTGATATGCCAAAAACAGTAACAACAAGTCTCACAATGGAGACGTTACTGGTGTCCACTCGAGCAAATCAATGAACAATGAGACAATAGTGCTACAGTGCTACTTGTACTGTACTTGTACTGTATACAAGGGCTTTATACAATACAGGGTGATACAGCAATCTTCACATACGAAGGAAACTTTTTTGGATCATCTTTAGTGGCTAGCAATACAAAATAAATTATGTTTTGGGGGCAGGCCTTGGGGATTGGGGTGGAATACTTCAAAATGTGGTGGGAAGGTGTAATGGTAGAGAGACTGGTGTTGGAATATTAAAGGTAATCAATTATTGTGAACAACTTCATAAAAATAAAATTTAAGCCAAATTTCTTAGGTCTTCTAAATTGGATTTTTTTGATTTTCAATTTGCAAAACTATTATAAAATCATGTAAACAGGGGCTGGAAAGAGAATATAGCATTTAGGGTGCTTCCCTTGCATGTGGCCACCCTAGTTTGATCCCTGGCACCCCATGTGATCCCCCAAGTCCCACCAGGAGTGATCCCTGAAGACAAAACTAGGAGTAAGCCCTGAGTACAGCCAGGTGTGGCCCCAAAACAAAAAAGTATAAACAAATTTTAATAATTCGCCGGGACCCCTTGGAGAGGGGCGGGTTGAGTTTCCCTCCCCGCCCCGAGCAGAGCTCTGGCAGCTGAAGACCTCCAGAACCAGCCACCACCATGCTGAGACCACTCTCCACACACATGAAGGTACTGGCAGAGGAACAAAGGCATGCGGTCCTGGGGCTCCAAGCCTGCTCGGATCGGGGCTGAGCATCCTCCACCCAGATCCTCCACCTTCCAGTAGGCAGGAGTCACACCCACCATCTGACCCCCAGCGCCGTGTAATCCCATCAACGGCCAAGACCCAGAGACTACAAAACCCAGCTCCCAGAAGCGCAGCGACATCTTATTACCTCATTCTTACTTTGGACAACCTGTCAGGTTACCGAATGTTTGTTACCTGCCCCCACGGCAGAGTCTGGCAAATTCCCCGTGGCGTACCCAATATGCCAAATACCAGTAACAATGATGGGTCTCATTCTCCTAACCCTGAAAGCGCCTTGAATATGGCACTTTTTAGAATCTCAGGGCTAGGACGAAGGAGACGTTACTGGGGCCTGCTCGAGGCAATCGACGAATAATTTGGTATTAAGAATTTAGATTTAGTAAAAAGTAGCAAAAGTATTTTTAAAGGCTAACATTTAAAAAAAAAGACTAATGTCAAAGTGCTTTCTCACAGTGATAAGAATAAACTCAGCCACTCTGGCACTATATAAGCTCATGACCCAGAGACTTACAAATAAATCTTGGAAGAAATCAACTAGCGGAGATGCCTCGGACCCAAATTCACCATCCAGTTAAAAATTTAACTCCAGCTTTATCACCCTATTTTTTTTTGTTTGTTTGTTTTCTGGTTTTTTTTTTTTTTTGCTTTTTGGGTCACACCCATTGATGCTCAGGGGTTACTCCTGGCTCATGCACTCAGGAATCACTCCTGGCGGTGCTCGGGGGACCATATGGGATGCTGGGAATAGAACCCGTATCGGCCATGTTGGCTGCGTGCAAGGCAAATTCCCTACCCGCTGTGCTATCGCTCCAGCCCTCACCCTATTTTAAATGTTAGAATTCCTGGAGTGCACGGCGGCACTTGCAGCTGCACTGAATCTCATACTCTACACTACTGATGTACCAGGAGTAGCA